TGCACCGCGAGAAGGTCGTATCTGGCCTCCTCCAGCAGGACTTCCAAAGCCTGCTTGTTCCCTTCGGTGTTCCAGAGTAGGATTTTACACCTCATCCTCTCGGGTTAACCCGATATATTAAATAAAAAAAAAAAAGAAAAGAAATCAAACCATATCCGACAGCTAACTGGCTTCTTCCCTACCACCGTCTACATCTCCCCAGTGTGCCGACACGAGTCCCAAACCGAACCCCAGACGCGCGCCGCTAAGCGGGCTTATATTCCGTCGTCTCCGACTGCCCTAGCCAGCTGACTTCGAAGTTACATAAGAGATAGAGAGCAGGCTAAATGTCTGCGCCGCAAGCATAATATGTGCTGTTGGAATCCTTGGAGGTATTCTGGTGTCAGCAAGCTAGCGAGGAGTGTGGGAGGTGCCTTAGGTAATCCAGCTTCTTTCTCTCCAACCTGCCCACCGGCTTCATCGTAGCTAAAACCAGAAGAACCGGCCATGATACCAGCCGGTCCAGCCTGCACGCTTCAGTTGCGCGCAACTGACTTCCAAATCAGTTTCCGTCCTGCCCTTCCTCTGCCATTAAATGAGGCGAGACCTGTTTCTTGGGCTTGAGCGCAGCCTCCTAGGCCTGCTTGGGCCTGGATCCTGCGTGACACAGACACCTAGTTGAATTCAAATAGAGCGGTGACCTAGGCTCCGTTTGACTTTTTTCTCTCTCGCAAATCCAATCAGCCTTGCGAGCTGCCTTGCCGGGCACCTTATTGATCTAGCCGCTCACGGGAACTTCTAGAGTTAATTACGAAAATGAATTATCAAACAAAGTCCCTAACTTAGCTCAGGGTAGGTACCTTAGGTAGTAAGTCCCGAGGGCCTTGACGGGAGCATTTGTGACACAGTGACATTCAAGTTGGCAGCCAGAGTTGCTATGCTAAGACAGATAGATATTGACATTCCACCAGTCGGCCAGGCCTCTGATTACCTTAGCCTCCAAGTTCTACCTAGCCTCCCGATACAATTGGCTCCAACTCCATACCCCCTATCTCCCTAGTTCCCCCTAACCTCTCGTATGGCCAAGACCCTCCTCGCCCACATGTCAAGGCAATCCAACTCGACGACGACCAGGATCTTCTTCAAAGGATTTAGGGATAATCGCAAACTGTCCTCTTCTATTCAAGTCCTTCACACCTCTCGACATCGGATAAAAGGAGGGTACAGCCGCTTCCCGACGCAAGTTACGCAACTCCACGTTGCAGCATACTGGGGCTTACAGAAGCTCCTAATCGTCCTCTGTCAAAGGGCCATTGACATTAACGGTCAAGACAGCTATGGAGCGACTGCGCTGCAGTTGGCTGCCCAAAATAACTACAGCCAAGGAGTACGATTACTGCTTGAAAAAGGAGCCAAGATCGACCTGCGCAATGGTAAAGGCGAGACGGCTGTAGCCTGGGCGAGCAGACACGGCCACCTAGCAATCGTCGAGCTGCACGGCTAACGGGGAGGATCCTGGACTGGCTGATGGATTCGGGGAAACTGCCGATGTACGGTCTGGCCAGGAGGCTGGAGCTGGAGCTCGCAGTCTGATACCCTTTCCTTCGAAGGCCAAGAGGCCTTCCCACTTTGTATTTGCAGGATCGCACACTGATCGTTCCCTTGAGTGTCGATATGGGTTTTTCACCCGGCCCACGAGGGCGCGGTTTTCCTGTATAGTAAGTTGTTGAAGGTCCGGCACGCCCTAGGGCACAGCGGTGTAGGAATAATAATAATATTAGGTCTCCCTGGCTAACACTTCACACATCACTAGCGCTTTATGGTGACCAAGCGCATGTTTGAGCGCAACGAGACCGCAGGCGGGCCTGCCCTTCTCGAGTACGATGTGCTGCTCACACTTAACGGCAAGACCGTTACAAAAACCTCCGATCTGGACGTCATGTACTCGAACGAGGAGCTCGACACGGTCGTGGTGCGCGACTGTAAAGAGCTGAGCCTGAAGCTGCCTACCGTGGCGGCCCACGACGTCGAAACGACGCGCGCCGTGTCATTTTGCGAGCGATCTTCTATGTGCCCAACTATGCCGTCAACTAGCAGATTAGCAGGCTTCTTAGTGAGATTTACGTGTCGGCGTGGGCGAGGGGCTCGCCCGCGTACTAGTACGGGCTGGCGCCGACGAATCTTATTACGCATGTGAACGACAAGCCGATGCCGGATTTTGAGGCTTTTCTGAGGGAGGTGGTTAAGATCCCGGATAATACTTGTGAGTCTTTTTCTTTCCCGGTTATATTTTGCGTTATGGATGCAAGGATCATGCTGACGAGGTTGGTGTAGACTTCCGCCTCCACGCCGTGACGTTAGACAACGTGCTGTGGGTGGTGGCAATGAAGAAGAACGAGCACTACTTTCCTAACATGGAGCTCATCAAGGACCCTAGCGAGGAGTGTGGCTGGCGGAGGGTTACCTATGAGGGCGGCAAGGTGATTCGAGAAGGGGCCCCTGACGGCGTGGTGGCGCCCCCCGGAGAGAGCACCGAGATGGATGTTGATGGCGGTGTGTGTTGATCAGGTAGCTTTGTGCATGTACGAGTAGTAATTATACAGCAGCGGTGCTGCCGAATAAGGTACTGGGGTTGGGTTTTGGCAGGGAGGCTGGGTTAGAATGGCGGTTGCATCTGAGAAGACAAGACGATGCATGCCCTTAAGTCTTGTCTCATATTAGACACTTTTCTGTGTGTGCACTACATTATCGGAGTGCAACTGAGTGCTTTCTCGCCAGTTTGGCTACTGGTAACCCCGAGTGGCCCGAGGAGACGGCTAGGGCTCAGCGTCTGGTTCCTCAAGGGGGTTGCAGCAAGCGAATCGGGGTTTTAGGAACCAGGTTAATATGATGATCAGCCTTTTTCTCAGGTAGAGCTGGACTCTCGCAACCCAGTCGTGATCACATTGTGTATGGTAATCAAGGTAGCTAAGGTAGTAAGCAGCGATCACCAGTAGCGGCCAGGCTCGGCCGACATCGGTCCATTCCGTCGTGACTCGTTGCTCCCTAAGGTTTCAGACGTCTTTCAGAGTGACTCCCACCGAGTGTATCTCCACATAGCGTTCATACCAGTCTGCCGGGTCGATCGATCCGTCAATCTCGAAGGAGAGGGACATTCCAAGCCCGCGACTGAACCCGACCGGCGTCGCAAGCTCATGGCGTTCAAATCTGTCCCTGCCCGGCGCCCCGCGCCCGCTTCAGTTGAGATCCGCCATCTCGTGGATCTTGTGCTGGCCATCCCAGAGGCTCAGCCGTCGTATTCTGAACTTCTGCCCCGCTTCAAAGTAGACCCAGATGGTGGCGACTTTCACGGCCCCGCGATCATGCGGCGGGTTGGTCAACGGTATGGCATAATGCACCGAGCGGTGGATGTCGGCGGTTATGCCGGGGCCGGGCCGGATCGATAATCCGACCGCGGCAACGTCGACTTGGATGGTAGCGCGGGGGTCGACCGAGCCAGCGTGGCCGTGCGTGTGGCACTCGTGCCAACCAGCCATGGTGAAAACAGAGCCAGCAAACAACTAGCGTGTAGCGTGGGGAGAGAAGCGAGAGAAACAGGAGGTAGGTTTTGACGTCGCTGTCTATGTAGGAGCTCATAATACTTTACATGTAGACGTAGTGTCAATGACTGCGTGAGATTGATGACGGCATTCAGCCGTCACGCGGAGCTCATCGGACCACACCGGAATACTGCGTACGGTAGAAGCCTGACTCTGCTGCGAGGGCCAACTGGGATACCGGGGATTTAATAATAAGATCCGAATGAATAGGACGTCAAAATACCAGGTATGCAAGCGATCAAGAACGGGCCGAGGCGGGTATTGGGGCTCTGCCGGCGACGATTCCATGTGCACATCTCTTTCTGCGTGTCCTGCGCGGTCTTCCATTCGAATGATTGTGGCTTACATTACCTCAGGCCGGACTAGCTGACGTGCACAAGTCCCTCTATATCCGATTCTGCATCTCTGGACAATGCCTAAGGTCTCCGAACCCCCAGGGTCTAGTCATAGGTCTGGATCTGGTCAACGCCCTCGACCCCCACCACGGCCCAGCCTCCCCCTCCCCCTCCGTCCCTCTCCAGCAAAAGCCCAAACACACCCCCATCAGCAGCCACCCTGTCCCGTCCGCCGGCCGTATTCGTGTCCCTGACACCGGCCCCGATGATTGACCTCACTTTCACTCTCAGCTCAAAGCTGCCCTTCTCCGTCGTCTGCACGGCGTACTGTGCCTGCTCGAGTCTGACGGTGCGGTAATACTCGGACGGCGGCCGCCGCGACGCGTTCTGCGTGAAACCGCCGAGGTCGCCCGGCGAGCGATGCCAGCCCCTGGCACCCCTCAGCTCCTTCCACTCCGCCGTCGTGCCATGGCCCTCCTCCTGCACGTCGCTGGCCCCCTCCACGGGTTTTGACGTGTCGGCCGGGGCCGGACTCGTTCGGTCCTTTGGCAAACCCAGGAGGGCCCGCAGCGAGTTGACCGCAGATGACGGCGCTGGTTTGTGCGGCTGGGCGATTGCCTGAGAGCTTAAGAATTGCTGCAGCTTCTCTGTCGTCGGTTCCCCGGCCTCATTTTCCCCGGGTGTAGTAGTAGTAGTGGTACTGGCGCTAATCAGAGGGATATGAGTGCCGCCGAGGAGGATTCCGTCGTTGGATTTGGGATTGGCGGCCAGGTCGAGGACGAGGGCGCTGGAAGTGGTGCCCCGGTCCCGAAAATATCCGTCGGCGTGGTCATTGTAGATGTACCACGGCACGCCGGGGAGCGTCAGCTGAATATAGATTGGACCTGAGCCCCGGAGAGGGATGGGTTTGGCCAGTGATACGTCTGCTGTCATTTTTAATTGAAGCGGATGAAGTAGACTTCAGGTGCAGAGAGTTTTCTCTCTCGTGACTCCACACAGTAGTGTTGACGGATGGGAAGATGCGCGATATTGGTGCGACATGAGCCGACCAACGTGGAAGACGGCAAATTGCTGACGGCCCAGGATCCTCAATCTCTCGGGCCCTTCTAAGTCCGCGTCTCGGGTATCATGCGGCCTCCGACACAGCCACAGTCAGTTGGTTGACAGCTACGAGGTATCCACGGGTTACCAAAGGTACTGAATTCCCGTTGTTATCATACAAAAAGCATCGCCTGAAAGCGCGTCTCAAGCTCACATACCACGCCATCCAAGACATCAAAAAATGTCTCTACCTCGCCACTCATCTTAGGAATGCCGCAAATCTCACCTCCTAGAGCAGAACAAAACACGCCCCGTTTTCCGCCTCGCCAAAGTTCGGCTCCCGCCTCCCTTCATCTTCACCACCACCACCATCACCACCAGCACGCTTACACTCGAATCGCTGTCGCCCTCTGATGGGCCCGTGACGTTGACCAGCAGCGCCCGCAGCGCTGCCGCGTCTGCCTTGATGCCGTGCGGCGAGGAGAGGCAGCTTATGTTTCTTCATTGTCTTCTCTGTTTCCTGGTCCTCGTGCGAGTAGACAACGGCCGTGGCAAAGTTGAGCTCGCGGTGGCCCGGCACGCTGAACACGCTCAGCCAGTCCGGGAGACCGCCGCCCGGGAGAAGCGACGGCAACCAGCTGCCTACCGGGGAGGTAGCAACCGGGTCGAGGTGGTACGTCTCGGTGATGCAAGACAAATGGCCCCATCGCCGGGCGATAGCAGCAGCCTCGGGCGTGGCGAAGACGGGGATCGCGGCGTCAAGGTGGTCTGGGTAACGTATATTCCGGAGACGACTTCTTTCTCAAGACCAACTGCTTTAGGACTGGGACGCTTATTGGAGGCTGGTGTTAGGTTAGGTCGTGGATTCTGCAGCCTGAATTGATTGGAGGGAGGCAGGCCTTGTGGTGAGGCTCAGTACCATACCTGACCGTGACCAAGTGTCCCGCACTGTCGAGACACCCGGAAATGGTGGCCCTGCCCCTGCCAAATTTGGCGGCTAGAACAGCATAATAACTTCCACCTGTGTTTTCATCGGAGTCCTTGTTTCTTGATGTCCAATAATTACCTAATAGGCTACCTTTACCAAAGCAAATGCGCGTCATGATGATGCATCAGCGTTAGATAGGGTCCGCCCCATCTACGGCCCTTTCGATGACGCAAACTGCAAACCTACATCTGGCGGCAATCTCAATAATAACTATATGCTACACGGCATGATGGAAACCTGGGTGGCCGCATCCAAGGAACCCAACACAGTTTGCTCTCAGTCCGAAAGCGCCCCGGCTAGGTACTTGCTCAGCCGATCCCCTCCGACAGTCCATAGTCATTTCCGGCACCTATCGTCCGTGACATGACTCTCGAATCAACACCAAAGCTCGCTGTCCTGATCGACGCGGACAATGCGCAGCCAAACATGAGCGGGATCCTCCTGGCAGAGGTTGCCAAGTACGGCACTGCCTGTGTGAAACGGGCGTATGGCGATTGGACCGGCCCTTATCTGAAAGGCTGGAAGGACCGGCTTCTTCGGTATTCAATTCAGCCCATCCAGCAATTCGCCTATACCCCTCACAAAAGTTCAACGGACATGGCCATGATCATCGACGCCATGGACCTTCTAAACTCCAACAAATTCGATGGTTTCTGTCTCGTTTCGAGTGACAGCGACTTCACCCGACTCGCGGTCCGTATCCGTGAGTCTGGACTTCCCGTGTATGGGTTCGGCCACCGAACGACGCCCTTACCCTTCGTGGTCGCCTGCAACAGGTTCGTCTATGTTGAAAACCTTGCGGTAATCGAGGAACACGGAACAGAGGCCAACGGAAATACCTCGCCTCAAGAACGCGCCACAGCCGCGGTAAAGGATGCTCGGCTGTTGAATCAGTTACAAACCGCTGTAGAGGAGGCCTCGGACGATGATGGGTGGGCCTCTTTGGCGGACGTCGGCAGTCTCGTCACTAAACGGCACCCAGATTTCGACCCCCGCACTTACGGATATAGCAAGCTGAGAGGCTTGATTGCGGCAACCTCCTTGTTCGAGGTTAGTCGCCGCAGTCCTGGCAAGGGCAAACAGGAAACAGTTTATGTACGGTCTAAACGGACGGCCCACGAGACTCGGGCCTCATCTAAGTAGTCATCTCACGTTAGCTAGGTGATTGGTGATGGAAGGGCAACGGCAGGAAGTGTCTAGGGTCCATTGTCAGAAGTTCTGAGTAGGAGTCAGACAGGACACGACCTGAACAGACTAATTCCAGGCTGGGCCAGGAGGCGTACCAGAACAGACTCAAAAGCAAAACTGAATTGTCGCGGCCAGTCGCAAGACAAAGTTCAAGTAACGTGAATGGCAAACGGTGTAAAAGGCATCTCGGCGTGGGCATCTCTCGACTTGTTGCAAGATAGATTTACACAAGCAAAAAAGCAGAGAGTAGAACAAAGTCATGCGGAGGACGCAGCGACAGGCACGGTTGTCAAGACCCACCGCTGCGTGCCAACTGGACCTGATCACCTGCGCGTCAAACGTGACTTCGCGTCAGATTTCGTGCGTTTGCATCTGAGTTCTTCCACGCAACCATCCTGTCCGGCCCGCAAGGCATCTAATTGCCCGTATTCTCACTGTCGGCAGAAGCCATAGCTATGCAGTCTCGAATGAACACTGGTTCAATCCCTTCGGACCCGATGGGGAGCTCCCTCCGCTGCCTCCAGACAATGGCAGTGGCCCATCCCTGGACGACTGGGACGGGGACGACCAGTTGAGCTTCTTCAAACTTCTCAACGCAGGACAACCAGGTGCCTGCCCATGCCCAAACTGATGGAAGTCTCTGAAGTCCACAAGCAGTGCAAGGAGCGATCCAATGGCATCCAGGCGAGCCATGACGTCTCAGGCGGATTCTCGATCGCCATGAGGCCACCATCAAGAAGCGCTGGACCAAGAAGACGAAGCAGCAGCGCCTCTAGGTTAACATGCCCGTCATCCACCGTTTCGACTTCGCCGCCTTTCGCAAGGAGTCAATGGCGCAGCGGCAATCCGGTACCGAATTCAGAGACAATGACATTATGTCTGGCCCTACATCAACCAGGAAGACCTGCTCCAACCGAGGAGCTTGCTCCTCATGCTTTATTTTAGAGGTCGATACCAGCCTTGTGGCTTTTCCGCGGCCGGTGGCGATGCCATGTACCTGTGCATGGTCACCAAGGCGATTGTACCGATATTTCTGAACTGTTCGTGGTCATGTTGAACGGCATGACCGGCCAAGACTACGGCAAGCTCGTTGCCTGGGAGGACCATGCGGACGCCTTCGACTGGATGCACACCCGAGAACAGTTTCTCCTTGGCGAGGCGCTCGACATTTTGGAGGCGCAGGACCGCATGAAGTTTCTTGTCCACTGCTGCGAGAAGCTCGTCCACGACATACTGGCCGCTTAACTCTTGTAGACAAGGTATCCGGTCTAACCGGAGCCGGTCCTGAAATCAGGCGTCAAACCAGGCGGTTTCGACGTCGCTGGTCGTCATGGCCGAGGAGGCGCCGTCTCGTCCGCCGGGCCGTCTTGATTTCGGCTCAATTGAGTCTTCGCTTGCGGCCCCGACCTCGGCAGCTGAGGACCAATACGTCAGTTCCTAATTGCTTTCACAATTCTCCGTCAAACTGACACTTGTCCAGCCTTTCCCGCCGAGAGGATCCCAGTTGCTTCTCTGACCAGCTAATGATCTACAAAGAGCACCGCCAGGAGCTGATGAAGGACACGGACGGCAAACCGCATCCGATCCTGCAACCGACCAAGATGGACGTTTTCTGGGAACGAATTATTAGCAACGTCTTGCTCGGCTCGCATGTAGAGCTCGAGGTCTTTGCTGAGCTGAGGCGCCAAGCAGAAGAGCCAAAACAGCTGCAGACCAAGTACGAAGCGACTCTCTCTCCACTCAGACTTCCCTGAGGAGGACCTGGTTGCCATCCTGCTATTCCGTTACTTCGTCTACCATCTGTCGAAAGACTGGCTGAACGACCTGAAGACGACCGTCGTGGCCTCGCCACCGGTGCGCATCGTCCGTTTGTTCGCACAAGACCTCAACATGATCTCCATCACGAGCAAGCCGGGTCTGAAGCGGAATGCCGTGGAGAAAGAGCTCCTGTGGCGCTTGCAGACGCTATGGGAAGACGGAAAACTGATATTTTCTTTGCCCGTATGCCAATGATTGTGGACGAGTTGGAGCGTCTGCTGCGCTCCGAACCGCGGGCCCAAAGAGTTGATCTTTGGCTACGTGCTGGACGGATTGGCAATTTCTCGATCATGTGCGAGTGCCTCCGACAGCTGGACATCTACCAACCGTGGGTCAACGGATACGAGAGCTCATATGTGGACTGGGAAGATGGCATCAAGAAAGACCTGGGAGCTTGGTGGAGCGGCTGAGCCGGGATCTTCAGTACCATGGAGTCCAAGGTCATGCTCATTTACTTCAAGCTCAGCCATCCAGCAGATAAGGGGTTCTTCTACCCGATGGAGAAGACCGAGGAGACGGTAAAGACGCTGCGGCAGGCGGAAGCGAGCCTCGACGCCTTCTGGGACGATCTCGGCAAGTGTCTCCATGCCACGGCTGGCGATCTAAGCAAGTCGGTGCTGAGGAGGCTCCTGTCCCAGCAACGCACTTTCAAGCGGACACCAGGATGGGCCGCCCCCGGCACCGCCGGAGAAGGGGAAGCCGGCATAGCCAGCTGCCGCCGTCGTGTCCGAAGATGCGGCCATCTACCGACCGCTCTCCACCCTGTACTTCGAACCCGGCACATCCCTCAACGCCAAGAAGCCTCCTGCACCAGCACAGCCAAAGCCAAAAGTCAAGACCAGCGGCGCAGCCCTAACCGACACAACCCCTAACAACAGCTCACAGACGCAGTGACGGCCCTCAACATCGACGAGCAACTCATCTTCCACGTGGACTGGCGCGCCCTCAAGGTCTTCCGCACGCTCTTCTTCCAGGCGGCCGTGACCTCGAACCCCCGCGAAGTCTCGTGGCACAATTTCTTGCACGACATGACGAGCACCGGGTTCCGCGCCGAGAAGCTGTACGGCTTGGTCTGGCACTTCCAGCCGTCGCGGCTCGACGTCGGGCGGAGCATCCAGTTCCATGAGCCGCATTCCGGGGGCAAGATTCCGTTCCGCGTGGCGAGGCGCATAGGCAGGCGCCTGGCGAGGGCGTATGGTTGGGTTGGGCGATGTTTGCTTTGAGGGCGAAGTAGTGGGTTGTGTTTTGTTGGGCAGTCGGGAATCAAAGGTTTGGATTTGGACGTGTGAGGCCTGAGTCGTGGAGAAGGCAGAATCTCACTGTGTTAGAGGGGGATAATACTTGATCTTTCAACAGGTGGAACACCATGCTGGAGATAAGGTTTGAGGATATTGCCATGTTGGCGGCGCCCCGGCCGTAGACCATACTTGTGGTTAAGGTTAGCAGTTTTTGGATCCACCCCAAGTGATACTTGGCGATTTAAACCTACCTAGGTCGGGCCGAATGCCCACCTGCTAGTACGTTTCATTCTACCTCTAGGGTTTGGGCAGTATGTACTCCGTAGAGACATACAACAAAGGAACTGACGCAGAAAACGCAGTTACAACAAGGAACAAAAAGCATCTTGTGTTAGATAACGGGAGTGCCGGGCTCGACTATTCGGGGCTATGAGTAGGGTAACCCACACGACATGAAACCTTGTCTTGAAACGCCGAAAATGGCAGCCTGGAGTTTTTAATTACACACTATCCGACCAAGGGTGGTCGCCTGCCTTGGGATTCGCACAAGCAGATGATGGCCCCCGCTCTCGCGTGGCATGGCAGCCGAAATCTTGGCTTGATTTAATGGTGGGGGTTTCTGAGACGCGCTTCCTCTGTCGGGTTGGCAGACTCGAGCCTTGACGTTTGCACACAAACGAGTTGTCAGCTAAGGCAGGGGTGCAATCGCAGGAACCGGGATCGTGGGTCTTATTTTCAAATTCTGATTGGATGGGCCTTGCCACGGCTGGTGCTCCGGCGGAAATGGAGACGCAGCCGGGACCGAGCTGTGGGAAGCTGCGGGGTGAGTGGGCCATCCCATGGTAATTTCGTAAATTGCTTGCGACGGGTTCTAGCCTCCCCCGACTTTCCGCTCACAACAGGACGATCCGCAAGCTTCATGAAAACGCGCTGCGCTTCCCGATTGACGATTAACATTAGCTGCACTGCTTGAATGCCGCCTTCACCGTCTTCGCCTATCTTGCGATCCCTTCGAAGTCCCGCTCATCGTGCATTTCACGCGCAGTTTCCGCCCCTTAACTCCACTTCGTCTCGGGATTACGCCACGTGCGCAGAGACGCAGTGACGCAGGGACGACTGCAAACGCTCGCCTGGGGAAAGGCCGACAATGGTACTGTCGCCGCAGCCGATCGGCAACCTCGTCCCAACTCCATCCTCTGCTCCACCACGCATCTGCAGTCCCGGCGCCACGAGCATATCCGCAGACATTACCTCCAGACGGTAGCCAGTGCATTGCGCTTTGCTCTGCCACACCGCCAAGGCTGATTCCGCGATGGACCGAAGTGCGTCCCCAGATGGCCGGTCCAGGGCTTTGCTCGCCCAAGCCGAGAACGTGACCGGGTTGGTGCTCGACGAGGACGCCCCGGTGCCTTTTATCAAAGAGGAGTCGCTGAGCCCGGTGCCGGACGACCCCGGGGTAGTCAGGATGCCGTCGTTCAAAGTAAATACCGTCAGCCCCACGCAGAAGTCGTCGGGTACCCCAGCCGGCAAGGCAAGTGGCACGCAGCAGAAGTCTGGGAGACATGGCGGCAAGGGAGGCTCTTCCAAGGCGGGCATTCTCAAGGCGGCCAAAGCAATCCAAGTGCCTGGGCAACCCATAATCCCGCGCAAGGTTCAGGACTGGGAGCCCTGGAAGGGCGTCCTGTACGAGCTCTACATCACCCAGAACCGCATCCTGCGCGACATCATTGACATCATGGAAACCAAGCATAACGTGAGAGCAACGTGAGTTCCTTTCCCCGAACTGGTTGCTATGTGCGAATTCCTGACCCTGCGGTGCTCTCAAGCCCAAAAATGTACAAGAACCAGTTCGCCCGTTGGGGCTTTTTCAAATACTCTATCAAGGGGCGGCCGCGGGCCAAGGCCGAGTCGCCGACAGACCTGAGCAGTTCTGACGATTCCCTCGACGGAGCCATCGTCCTGTCGAGGGACGAACTGCTTCACGCAGACGGCGGATCGCGCAGCATCCAGGCCGGCCTGACCGCCGTTCGCCGTTTCCTCCAGGGCCACATCGACCGGGATCCGGCTAACCTGCAAGTCGAGGAAGTCGCCGGGTTCGTCGACCCCTGCTACCGGTACTTCAAGGTTGCCATGGACCTGTTCGATCTCAAAGAGAACGTTGAAGGCGGCCGCGTCCTGCGCCTCGCCTTCCTCCAGATCGAGCGCAAGATCTCGAAACCCACCATGAAGTCCTTCTCGGACTTGTGTTTCCTCGTGCCTCACCTCCTCCTCGAATCTAATCGCCGAGACATCCTCTCAGCCTATCTACACTACCTCTCGGCTCTGGCAACGGTCAAGTTCGGCAGACACCCCGTCGCCGACCTCGCCGCCTCGTTCGCCAGCCTCGTCGACGACCGACCGCAAGACATGATGCGCTACATCATGCTCCTCTCACAAATCAACTCCGACACCATCGCCTCCCTGCCGGGCATGCTCGACCGCAACCGCGAGTGGGCTCGCAACCAGTACCTCGCCTGCCAGCGCACGGCCAACACCACCACCACCATTTCACCCCACCAATCGCCGTCCCCCGGCCGAGGCGACGGCATTATCGGCGCAGAGCGGCACGACCATCACATGATCCGCCTTGAAGCTCAATCCGTCTACTGGGCACAGAAGCTCGTGATGCAAGACCAGGAAAGCGACGCGATGGCGGCGCAGTGGCTCCGCCGGCGATTCGAGCCCAACTTTGGCCCGCGTTGCGAGCGGTACCTCGCCCAGCTGCGGGAGCGTGCCGCGCAGGGCGGGTTCCCTGTCATGTTTGCGCGCATGATGGAGACGCTCATGGTCGGGTGGCTCTATGACTACTATGAGACGGTGCAGGATTGGGAGCGGGCATTTGAGTGGGGCCGGAGGGGGCTGGAACTGTCGACGGATGAGCAGTATGCGATTTGGTCGATTCATCTCGAGGGGTTGATGGAGAGCAGTGGGAGGGCGGAGGAGGCGGAGGAGCTGAGGAGACGGAGGAGGGAGCATGCTTGGCTGGAGAGGGTTAGGTTGGAGGTGGATCGGCTGAGTATCGCGGATGGGTGATGGTGGCGGTGATGGAAGGGTATTGGTTGAATTTGCCCAATGTATAAAATAGTGTAGCGCTGGGAGGTATACTCTTTGGTTGGGTTATGGATATGGACGCATTGGTATTGGATTAGGGCACGGCGCTTTCTCGAGAGAAGCCCAGCATGGTTCTTGGGCTGGAATCTGGTCCGCAGTGGGCCATCGAGAAATTCGAATCTTTGCAGTGTCATGTTCGAGTCTGCTGTATTTTCTTGTTCGCTGAGAACACTCGGTCCGTTTGGGGTGCCGATCTCAGGTAAGGTAGGCAGCGAAGAACAAGAAAATCACTTGCCAGTCCCATGCTTTTCCGTCATGGCATCGAACAACATCCGCCTCAACGTCGTCAGACTCCAGAGCTGGGCAGCCAGTGGATGCTGGATCCAAGGAAAACTGTTATTCAAACCAGTTGTAAACTCTGCTGTCCACCAATACCCTCTCGAACTTATACCTTCGCGAACTTAGCCTTCGCAGACTGATGCGTTGAATCACCGGGAAAGGCCAGATTTGAGTATGCCCAGTCATCAATGCAGTCGGCAGTAGACTGGTGTAGTTGAAACGCTGCTCCATGTAGATCAGTGCATTTTGGGCACCATCACAGGTGAAACAGCGCCTACAGTCAACATCATCGTACATGCACCGGAAGGGCCCGCCTAATCTCGACAAGGCTGAACGCACCCGTTTCAAAGTCCCCCTTCCGCAAAGCCTGGCAGCGGCGACCTCATTTCAAGGCGAACAGGGAAAGTCTTTCCGTTAAAGAAAAGTACGATGTAGTAACCGTAGATCATCCGTATCAATCAGCGTTGCTGATCATGGCGTACCATTCTATATATACCCGTCTCTTGTCCTCTTTGTGACCTTGCGTTTGTCTCCCTTGTCCGCACAGTCAATTCCTCGTCACAAACATTACCTAAGACAGTGTTATCTCATATACAGTTCCCTGAATTGTATTATCAAAATGTTCAAGGGACTCCCCATCGCCATCTTGAGCGGAATGGCCGAGCAGTCATACATCGTGGACAGCCGGGCTCAATTCGAGCCCCTTGATATCGATGGTACGCCGTTACCACCCATCCCCATTCTTCTTTAAACCTTGATTCATTCTGGCATCGTTCTATCTTAACACTAACCTAAGGGACCCACTGAATAGTTGTCTACACCTCCAGACATCCTGATCAGCAAGGCAGAAACGAGCTTGGCGCCGTCTTCTCTGGCAACCTGGACTTGCCTCACGGATTCGGCAGCAACTCTGAGCGTGAGGTCTCGGAACGCAGGGTACCGCGGGTACTCGTCATTTCCTATGACCACGGTAACTTACCTGGAGGAATGGAAATCAAAGATTCCCCTGGTGTAGAAGATCCCAATGTGGTGCTTGTCCCGGGAATTGGGAGGCCCGAATTGTTTGCGCACTGGGTGACGCGAGATTTGGCTGAGCTCATGGACAGAGGGGAGTTGGAGTTGTGATTCACCAGGCTACTTGCTTGTATTGATCATTACAATCGGGGTAAGTGGGAGTGTGGATGGGATCTGTGGGGAGAAGATGGCTGGTAGGCAAGATATTCTTTGTGGTGGGTGTCAGGCATGGACATGCAACGCGCTTGTTATAGTCGTTTGCTCAGCAGGGAATGAGTGGATCGAGCCGTTTTTCGTTTGCTGGTTTTCCAGTTAGTGTGTCTCACTTCGGTAGACTTAAGACTTTTGGCAATTGACTCAGAGTGGGCTTGGATTGGGTGAACTAAGCATTCTTGAAGTGAGCCAATTGTCAGCGCCGTCAGCCACTGTCTAGGGAGTATGTAGGCCGCGAAACCTGGCATCTGTTGGCCTCGACGCTGTTTTGTAACCGATCATGGATTCACAACTAGCAGGGTCGGAGACATGTCGTTGATTGAACGGGAAAATGCAGAGTCCAGGACTTAAATTGTCTCTCTAGGCTGAGCCCTGTTTTCCTAATGGTCCTCCGTCCGGCGGTAAAACCAGCTCGTCGACCTTGTTATAAGCCGAGCATGGGAAGTCTTTCCTTTCAAGGAACGTATGATGTCGTAGTCGCCGACCATCTACGTCGATCCTCTACGTCGATTAGGACGTCTAAATTTTATATAATTATATCTGCCTCCTGTCGCTCTTGTAAACCTACCTCTATCTTCATCGTCCCGCCCTAAGTCAACTCCTCATTACAGATATAACCCTGCTATCATATATACTAGTTCTTTACATCATAGCATCAAACGATCAAAATGTCTGACGACGGAATCCCCATCGCTATCTGGCGTAAATCTGAGCTGGGACCTCTCTCCCACGTACGATGGTACGCCACCACCCATCTCCCTATTCATTTCATGGTTTCTGACCTATCTTCAACCAATTCGTCTTAAACTAGTTAACGCAAACAATTGTATAGTTGTCTACCTCAGCTTCTGCACTGATCAAGCCTTCGAGGAACTTCCCGCCCTCTTCTCGGGCGACCTGCACGTCCCTCAGGGGCCGGGCAGCAACTCTGTGCGTGACGTCTCGGAGCGCAGGTTACCCATGGTACTCGTGATTGTCAAGGAAACGCGTGACCGTGAGGCGATCGACGATGAGGTCAATGATGTCGTGAACTCGGCACGTGTCAGTGCTGTAGAGGATTTCAAAGTGGTGGCACGCCCTCGGATCCGGACCCGACTGCCCGACTGCCAGAGATCAAGACGGTTACCGATGTCAGAAACCGTTGAAACGAGCTCGTGGAGGACTTATAACTCACCAGGTTACTGCTTATGATGATCAACACAATCAGAATGCGTGGGAGTAGGTGGAATGGGGCATGTGACAAATGCTGTGTGGAGAAGATAGTCGTATTCGTTGCTGTGGTTGAGTTTCCGGGTACGAATATGGAATCGTCTTTGTATGGTTGTGATTCAACGAGGAACGAGAGAAATGAGACAGTGTTTCGTTTGCTGATTTTCCACTGCAGGTTCCAGTTCGTGAGACACACGTGGGACGAATCTCGGCAAATGAGCGGGACTGGATTGGGTAAGTTGAGCAGTGGGTAAGCCATGGGACAACTGCTAGGGTGTACATCTGATGAGAGTTCATGCTCAGAACTACCTTCATTAATGGCGACGTGGGATATATGTATGAGGGAGTATCCCAGCACTACAGGGAAGTTCCAGGTTGTCGCCGCCTTCAGCTAAGTTCCAGCGGCTGACGAACTCGCGTCACTACACTGACTTGGTCGTCGAATCTTGACAGCCGATAATCTTGACCTAGTTAAACCGACATCGTCAATCAAGCACCCGGAGACATGCCGTTGGCTGACGGTGGAGTGCGGGGTCCGTTTTGCTCCCATACTCCGACCCCGGGTTTCCTGATGCGGTCGGAAGCGGGCCGGTGTGCCCCACAATAATGCTCGGAGGTCGGAGCAATTTGGGCGATGTATGACAGCGGGATGGCCCCACACGGGTAGCTCGATCGGCAGGGCTGCAACGCACCTTGCCATGTCCATCTTCCATCAAGACAGACCGGAAGCGCCGGGCAACCACGTATTGTCCTCTGGCCGCGAGGTAGGCGCGAGCGATTCGTCGACCATGGTGTCCATAAGTACCCGTCTCTTTCCCGCGTCTCGAACCCTCATTCACTCCACTCCCAGAACCAAACTCGTAGTCAACATCCAACTAGACAATCTCCCACAATCACATTTCTTTGCTCGGAAGATTACCACCACCCAGCAGCAATTCAGAATGTCGAACCCCATCCCCTACGCCACCCTCGGCCGCGACGGCCAAGTCGCTGCGAAGCTCCATACCCTTCTCATGCCCGAGTACGAGCGTAAGCTACCCCCACATTGACACACAATAATCGCAACAGAAGCTTGAAGATTTTTCTAATCCTTACAACATCTATCCACATAGACTGACATTCCAACTAGTCGTCCACGCCTGCCTCAACCTCGAGCAAGCCCGTGCTGAACTGCCCAACGTCTGCTCAGGCGTCCTGGACACGTCCATCGCTTCCAAAATCGGCACCAACGTCGACCGTCCCGTCGCGGAGCGCAAGACGCCCAAGGCACTCGTCTTTGGCGGCGGGATCCCTGACCAGGAGGTTGATGCCGTCATGGCGGCTCTGAAGGAGAAACAGCCGCCTGCAGAGGTCAAAGTGGTGCGTGTTACGAGGGAGGATATCCTGGCCACGGGGGCACCGGGCCCGAGCCCCGAGGCGATTGCCCAGGTCCTCAGACAGAAGCTGGGTGCGCTGGTCCAGAATGGGGAGTTGTAGACATTTTGCTTCGAAAGGGGGGACAGTGGTTGTACGGAACAGTGTGGTATGAAATGTGATGCAAGCGGTGGGGTGTACGCAGTTGTTTAGGTACGAGTGACGGGAAGCTCAAATCAGCAGTCAGCCTGCGGAGAACGGGGAAGGGTTACTATTCACCTACCCAAGTGGGAAGCTATCGCCAGGGCCCCGAATTACCAATTTCATCAGCCAAACAATTCTTTCAGCAGATGCCTCCAAACATCTTCTGCAAGCGCTCGTAGCGGATGCGCTCCCACATTCTGACCGCCGCCTGCCCCTTGTTCTGAGTCGCCAGCCTTGTGCAGAGAAGCAGCCAGCATCACGCTATCCTCCATGGTTTAGTCAGCCCGCTAGATCGATGTCGACAGGAACGGATGCGCGGCGTTTCCAATCAACGCCGGCCGCGCCTTGGGGAACAATATGTCGACGGGGAATCAAGCTTGTAATCAAACCACTGCTCCGTTGACATGATCTTGACCAGCTCCAAGCTTACCAGCCTCAAACCAAGCCAGAAACTGGCCTGCCCGTTCGGCAGCGGCTTGCCCTCCAATTCCAGCGCCGGCTTGCTCCTTCATGGCCTCACACGCTCCACAAGAAGCACCAAAATCCGCGACAATACGCTTCCCGACCTCTGTCACCACGCCTGCACACCCACCCTCCTCAATGTACTCCGCCAAATGACACGCAACCTCGCATCACATCTCCTTCCCACAACGTACTTACAATACCTGGCAGATCACCCCCGGATGCCCGTTCACCCACCCTCCCCAACCCCGGTGCTCCCGACCTCCTCGGCAAATGACTGCGTCGCGCATTGTGACGAACCGGCCGGATCCAGACGTAAAAGTGGAACGCCTCGTCACCTCCGAGCTCAGATTGTTTGGATTGGCGGTTTCAGGGCCTTCAGAAATCTAGGCCACTTTGCGAAGAACGCAAAGGAGTTCTGGCCGAACCTGATGTACAACCAGAGGCAGCAGAAGATGGTAATCATCAATGGTGGTGTTTTCCATACAGTGGTGATGCTGGATGTGTGATGGCTCTGGTGGGCAGGGCTGTAACCCCTGCATCAGATGTGGTGGCAACCCGATCTGCCAAGGATGTGGGGCACCACCCACAACAGAACCTGACGATGTCGCCAAGCAGGAGAGAGAATGGGAGAGACTCGAGTTGTCGAGAAGGGTTATGGCGATGGGCGGGGGTTTGCGGTCGCATTCGTTGGGTACGACACTGTTAGGCCGGCGAGCTTACCGTATGCGCCGATAATGAGGACGTAGATGCCCAAGGGAAGAACCAGAGGTAGGATTAGGGTGTCATGCCCTGTTGAGTTCAAGTTGATAGTGTGCGGGCTCTGGGATGGATAATTCAAGTAGGGGTTCGGAACTCTATATACTTTAAGATACGTGAGGTCATCGTTACTTTTACCAGAAGCAGGAGGAGGTAATGAGTCCCAACAATCAAAGAGGGGACGAGAGCTGAAGGTTCGGCTGCGTTTTTTTTATCACTTTCTTGGTGGACAGTGAGATCACAAGAAGACAGACAGAGCAACCTAGCCGGGGAGTTCTGGAGATACCTCATGTACATCCCCAACCAGCAACCGTGCTCTTCTGCTGCCTGTCTCACCTGCTATCCCACCAGGATAACATGGATCCCTTCTCGGAGAGCCAATATTGGGCGGGGATTGTGAGTTCACCGAAGGTGAGTCTACATGGCCTTCTTGTGGGAAACTTCTCAGGCCTTTCCAATGCCAGACCAACCGCGCGCTGGGTGCTAGGTAATGACAATGTGAGGTGACGCCTTAGCAGAAAATTATGCTGCAAACTGCTTGCAACAGGGTGGGAGACGAGAGATTGCGTTTGGCGCTGTAGCGAGACTCCATAGGGAAAGTGCGGTCGGGATAAGCTTCTACCAGGGGTTCCACTGTTTGTGTTGAGCTCGGAATGTCTCCGGCCGGCAAATGCACCGAAAGCGGTTTGCATGCCTGGCTGCCTGACGAGAATGGCAGCCAGGAACCGAGGTGGGGCTTGGTGGGCTGGTACCAAGGCTTACTGTACTTACCGAAGACTGCCACAACGGGTTGGATCACGTGCGGCTGCGCCTTGAACTACCGCCCGACGCTGATTGGTTCGAGCAAACATGCCAGACCTCCTCACTTTGCTTCCACCCAGCCACGCCCGTGCCGCTTTCCAACGGCTCGAATATGTAGCCTGAACAGAACCTAATCATTGCGTTGAGGTCTGTAATTCCATCACAGGCGGGCCAATCTCTGATTCCCTAGCATTTGCTATCCTTTTTGCCCCTCTGATTGTCTGACTTGCGGGGATGGATCGTTAGAGACGCTCTGTACTCACCCGAGCTTCTCCACTTCGAACCCTTTCTCGGTGACATCCGATGCTTCTTAGCCGCCATCTGCGCCAATACCATTGATCGTGCCGCGCATCAACGTCGCGTCCCATCGTTTGCTCTAGACATTCAACCTCCATCCGCCGCCTATTTTGCGTCTTGCCACACTTTGCAGACATTGCCCTACGCCAGCGATTCCCATCGTGATAAACTGGAAACCCACACAACCGGGTGCAATTGATGCGCCTTGCCGTCTCGGCAACATGTCTACCCCGCGTATGTCGGCTTGGGAATAGCGGCCCTGCCGCTTGCTAACCGGCAACAGTGACCAACGAGGAGACGGAGTCCTACACGCGAATCATCGACGGCATCCTTGCCGTAGCCGATCTCGAGACCGTCACACGCAAGAAAGTCCGCAAGGGTCTCGAGGAAGCCATCAGCAAGGACCTTAGCAACCAGAAAGTTTGTGTCATCACGTGTATCTTGTCAGCACCGAAACGCGCGTGACTAACATGTGCCTCAATCTCACAGGATGCCATTAAGGCCCTAATCGAGGCGCGCTTTGACGCCATCTCCAACGAGGTAGCCCAGGTACCCACACCGACATCTGGCGCGGCCGCCGGACACGAGATCAATGGCCGCTCCTCGTCGGCCGATGGCGAGATCGAGGTGTCGCTACCCCCGCCCAGCAAAAAGCCCAAGAGGGAGGCGAGCTCGAGCGAGGAGGCCGATGCCCGCCTGGCCGCCGAGCTACAAGCCCAAGAAAACAGGCTGTCCCGCGGCCGAGTGACTCGCGGTGGCGCGGCCGGCGCTTCCAAGCCCAAGTCGAAGCCGAAGCCGGCCAAGAAGAAGACGCCGAAGCGGGTGCGCTCCGATGAAGATAGCAACGTTGAGGATTCAGAGGCCGGTGCCGAGCCCAAGAAGCGCAAGGCCGGCGGCGGCTTCCAGAAGCCCTTCAACCTCAGCGTCCCGCTGGCAGAGCTGTGCGGTGAGAGCCAGGTAAGTGCCCCTCGCTGTTTCTCGTCCGATCTGTGCTGACCGGAACAGCTATCCCGCCCGCAAGTTGTCAAAAAGATATGGGAATACATCAAGGGCAACGAGCTCCAAGATCCCAATGACAAGCGCCAGATTTTGTGCGACGAAAAGTTGCATGCCGTCTTCAGGCAGGACAAGGTAAACATGTTCTCGATGAACAAGCTCCTGGGGAATCAGTTATACCCAATCGAAGACTGAGGCTGGCTTTCTTATTTCTCATCCCTGGACTCCTGGACAAGGTCGGCGTTCATGGCGCTTTGGGCACTTGACATCGGCTTGGAGACGGTTCTTACGGCAATGTCTCTTCTTTATCTCCTTTGCCCATTCGGTGGACAGTTTGCTGTCTTCGTCGATGGCCAACCTCAGCTTCTCGCATCGTCGAGGTTGACAGTTCTCATGTTTCGGCAAATCACCAGCTCCATTTTTCCGTCGAACATGACGACAGGAGGCATTCCATCGAACCCCACGCAGCCTACCCTTGGGCAATTACAATCTAATTTTCCTTCTATATCTAGCTGGGTAGTTCTCCCAGAACCGACATTCCGGATTGGGTCTCTTGGACGCTGCAGATGAGCAGGGGCAGGACGACCATTTCATTTTGTTGGCGGCGTAAGGGCATTTACGGCACACTCGGTTGGAGATCACGGTACGGGTCCATCATCATTTCGGCATAGCATCTGATATTGTGTACTATCTATCCTCTCTCGATTGGCGCGATGGTGAAGGAGGTGGGAAGCCTGAAAACGATGATGATGAGGCCAGGTACATAAGTATCTAGGCCATCAATGGAATGACATTTAAGCACTCAAGAGGCAATGGTGGTTGTGAGATGATTGTGATCAGTGCGCTCAGACTTCTGCGACGTGTTGGCTGAGTGGTGACTAACCTACTGTACTTGGTCCTTTCCAGCTGCATGGTCCCAACTCCAAGTTGGAGGCCTTGGCGCATAATGGCGCTTGTTGACTGTACGTCCGTATTTGAGGCGCAAAATATGACTCTCAATACTGTGTAATGAGGCACCCAAGTTGGGTAAGGACATACAGCCTGCAATACACTGGTGCTGGAACGCCCAAGAATGAGCCATAATGATGACACACCGGCGAACCCCGGCCAGATCCGCTGTGGATCCCTCTGCTCATGCTGTGCCATTCCCGCCGGCTGATTAAAAACCAAGCTCCGAGACTGACCCCACCATCCCGCCGACGTCGAAGCTGCAGAGAGCTCTCTCTCACTCTGTAGTTTTGAGCGCTGGACGTCCTTGCATTCATTTTCGACTGGCGGTTTTCTCTCGCGGCTACGTCTGCTCAAAAACATCAACGCAAGGCATAATCTTTCCTCTTTTTTCTTTTCAGCTGCAAAGTCTCATAGCTCCGACCCCTACGGACGTCAGCTCGATATGGCTTCGACTGAACCAGTCGCCCCAGCGACCGACGGCGGCGCAACACGAGAACACGCGCCCACGGGTCCCCGAGGTGACGGTCACAGAGGCAGAGGCAGAGGACGGGGAGCGCGAGGCCGCGGCAGGGGGAGGGGGCCCCGAGGAGGCGGCCAGCACCAGATCAGCACACCGAATGCGCCCGCCGAGCCCGCGGCCGAGGAGCCGAAGCCGCCACGGGCCAGCAAGCCGCCCAGCTTCAAGGTCAAGAACGACACGCAGGATGAGGTTGCCGACGACGACGTCGAGGTGTGCTTCATCTGCGCCAACCCTATCAGCCATTACTCGGTCTCCTCCTGCAACCACATCACATGCCACATTTGCGCGCTGCGCTTGAGAGCCCTGTACAAGAACAAGGAGTGCCCTCATTGCAGGGTGGGTAGCCTAGCGTCTTGTGGGAGATTATACTAGGATGCTGACTGGAAGTAGACCTCGGCCCCGTATGTCATCTTCACCGACGACGGCACCAAGCGCTTCGAAGAATACACCGACGCCGACATCACCAGCACCGACGATAACATTGGGATCAAGTATGCCGGCGAGGATATCGTCGGTGACACGGTCCTGCTGCTCCGCTACAACTGCCCGGATCCCAAATGCGACTTTGCCGGCCTCGGCTGGCAGGACCTGCACCGCCATGTTCGCAGCGTCCATCATAAGAAGATGTGCGATCTCTGCACCAGGAACAAGAAAGTGTTTACGCACGAGCACGACATGTTTGGCGACAAGGAGTTGACCGAACACATGCGCCACGGCGACGACAAGCCCGGCGCCGTCGACCAGACGGGGTTCAGGGGACATCCGCTGTGCGGCTTCTGCGGCGCCCGCTTCTACGACAGCGACAAGCTGTACGAGCACTGCCGCAACAAACACGAGCGGTGCTTCATCTGCGACCGCCGAGACTCGAGGCAGCCCCATTACTACCTCGACTACAACTCGCTCGAGGAACATTTCAAAAAGGACCACTTCTTGTGCCCGGACCGCGAGTGCCTCGAGAAGAAGTTTGTCGTGTTTGAGTCGGAAATCGACCTCAAGGCCCACCAGCTCAGCGAACATGGAGGCTCATTAGCCAAGGGGAGGGATGCCCGTACGGTGGACTTGTCCAACTTCGACCTGCGACAGAGGTACGAGCAGGAGAGGCGGGGCGGGGGTCCGAGGGAGCAGCGACGACGAGGCCCAGATCCGAATGCCGATGCGCCTCTGCCGGTCAGCTCCGCTCAACCACTGAGGAGGGACGAGCTTGCCTTTCAACGGCAAATGGCCCTGCAGACAGCATCGAGCCGCACGGCACCCCCTGGCCCGTCTCGGCCTACACCCAGCAATGCACTTCCCCCGCAATCACGCGCCCCGCCAGGCCGGCCCATAATTGACGCCATGGAAAACCTCAGCATCACCGATCTCTCCTCCCTCACCCCGGAGCAGCGCGCCAGCCTGACGCGGCACGGCGCCGTCATCGAGCGCGCCTCCAACCTCCTGGGCAACGACGCCTCCAAGATGGCCACCTTCCGCTCGCACATCTCGACCTACAACAAAGGCTCCATGACCCCGCAGCAGCTCATCGACGCCTTCTTCGCCCTCTTTTCCGAAACCTCGTCCACCGCGCTCGGCACCCTCGTCCGCGAAGTCGCCGACTTGTTCGAGGACAAGAAGAAGGCCGAGGCCCTGCGCAGGGCCTGGGCCAACTGGCGGGCTATCAACGAGGACTACCCGTCGCTTCCCGGGTTGGAGGGCATGCACGGCGCGACCACGTCGACGACGGGCTGGGCCGCCGCCGCCGCCGCCTCGGGCCCGGGCAGCAATTCCTCACAAGCGGCGGCCGCCGCACACGCTGCGGCACAGCTCCGCCACTCGACCCGCGTGCTCAAGCTCAAGAATAGTACCCGCCGGGGCAGCGTCGGCGGGCATTCGGTACTGTCAGTTGCGTCGGGCTCGTCATCGTCGCTTACTAACACCCCGTCGGCGTCGGGTTCTGCGACTACTACCACGGCGGCGGCCGGCCCGTCTTCTCGACCTGCCGCGTCCGCTTCGGCGTTCCCTGCCCTGCCTTCCTCGCGATCCTCCCCGGCTCCATCGCAATCCCTGACTCAACCAAGCTGGATTGGCGGGAGAAGTGCAACCTCCACCTCCACTACCACCAATACCATAGACTCTACGAAGTCTTCTGGTGGTGGTGGTGGTGCACCAGGCGCGAGGAAGCCAGCTACTTTATCAAGCGAGGACGCGTTCCCGGCCCTGCCGGCCGCGCCCAAAGTGCAGACGACCATATTCGGGTATGGGGGCGGGCGACCCGTAAGGAGGGATCTGGGTACCGGCCATAGGGACACGGGGTTCAGTTGGGGTGGTGGTGGAGGCGGCAGCGGCGGTGGTTCTTCGTCGCAGGCTGGTGGGAGTGTTGCACAGGGCGGCCAGGGGCAAGAGGGAGCGGATGGGCAGACGGGGAAGAAGAAGAGCAAGAAGCAGGTTTTGGTGCATTGGGGGTAGCTGAATAAATTTCCTTATTAACCCAAGAGAAGGGGATTGATTGGGTTCGCAGGGAAATGGGAAGGGATAGAGAAGGGTAGGGATGAGCTCGAAAAAGAGTACGGTAGTATCCGAGTCTTGGAATAGGTGTACAGCGCGCGATGCGGATTGCGGAAGTGGTCTGTAGGATGGCAGTTCGCATACTGTGATGCAGAGAGCAGCTGACTCGGTGTTGTAGGCAAGGAAGCGAATAAGCCATCGCAAGCTAAGTAGTAGCGGCAACACAAGCACTTACTTGTATTCATAGAACCAGGAACTCGCTCCCTTGCTCGGTCGAGGTCACAGAAATACATCCTCATATTCAGCAACAAGAAAAACTACTAGATCGCTGGGACTGCCACTAAAAGCAGTAACCTTCCATTGCCGCCGTCAAAACGGGAGAAGCGGGAGAACAACTTATTGACTGACAAGAGAAACAACGCTGCCAAGGAAACTCAACCGACCCTCCCCCTGTTTCACCACCCTTCCACATCCCTCTCAGTCACTTAACCAACCCCCCCAACCGCCCGTCCACGGACTATCCTACAGACTCGACGGCGGGGCAGGGACATAATAGTCCCGAAACCGATCCGTCTCTTCCCAGCGGAGGTCATACACGACATTCCAGCAGGTAATCAACAGATTCGGGAACCGGCACGCCCAAAAAGCGAGATACCCATCCGGCAGCGACCCCACAATCTTCTTGAGCGAGTCGGGCATGTCCTCGTAGTGATTCCGCTTATTCCTCAACGCGCGCAGCAGGTCCAGCAGGCGATCACCCCTGTACTTGCGCTGCTTGCCGAGCGACTCGACAAACTCGCGTGGTAAGTGCTTGAGAAAATCACCCTGGACGACGCTGGGGGCATACGACTCGAGGTGTGACAGCGCCGGGCTCGGCGGGTCGCGCGGCTCCTTCTCAAAGTGGTCCGACACGTCACACAGGAAACTGAGGCGCTTTTTGGGACTCCAAAAGAACGGATGGGCCATGACCTCAAGCGCTGTGGGCCGCTGCTTGGGCTTGGCGTTGAGCATGCTGCCGATCAAGTCGCGCGCCTCAAAGGCAAAGTCGCCCAGCGAGTCGAGCAGCTGCAGGGAGTAGATGCCCTTGCGGATGTTGACCTCGCGCATGAAGCGGTCGCCGCAGTCGAACGGGTGGTTGCCGCGCGTCAGCACGTAGAAAAAGACCAGCCCCAACGAGAAGATGTCGATGGCCCGCGTCACCCGTCGGCTGTGCGGGCCCGGGCCCTCAACGAGGCCGGAGCCAGACGCACTGTGCAGGCTGGAGCCCGGGTCGGTGAGCGTCATGGTCGAAGGCCCTGGGCCGTCGTCGTCAATCAGGAGCTCCGGGGCACGCCAACCCGTAGTTCCCGCGGCGTGAGCGGTAGTGGCACCGAACGACGATTGCCCGCCCTCCAGCTTCTTGCACAGGCCAAAGTCGGAGACGAGGATGCGGGGCCGGCCGTTCTTGCCCATGTTGACCAAGATGTTCTGCGGCTTGAGATCGCGGTGGACGATGCGCAGGCTATGCAGATGGCTCAGACCGTTGGCGATCTGGTACAAGACACCCGGCATGTCGCGTTCGCCAGCCTGCGCCAGCTCCCTATAGGCGTGAGGCTTCTGGACAATGTCGGCGAGCGAGGCCTGGCAGAGCTCCAGAGCGATGTAGAGGAACGCCGCGCGTTCTTGCTGGGCGTAGTAGCGGATTACTGCAGCTGTTAGCATGGCACAGAGTGAAACGCATCTAACCTACCATTCGGATGATCGTCGCTTTCTCTCAACAGCCTAGTCTCCTGGCTGGCGATCTCGTTGAACTGCACCAGCATGCGCTTCACAGCCACGTCGCGGCCGTCCCACTTGCCGGCAAAAACAATGGTGCCGTTGCTGCCCGTGCCCAACTGCTCGGCCTCGTTGACCTCAAGACTGCCCATCTTCAGAATGTGGCCCGAAACCTCGTCGGCATCCCCGGCGACTGTGATGATGTCTGGCTCAAGTTTGGGCTCGCGAATGAGGGTCTTGGCTTTGTTAACAACCTCCTCAACCGATTCCTGCGGCGGACTTTCCTCCCTAGACTGAGAGTTCTCGCGCTTGTCCTTGTTGCCCTTCCGGTGTTTGGCGCCTCCTCGACGGCCCCGGTGTGCTTTCTTCTTCTTCACGGTCTCGCCAGCCGGGGCATCAGCTCCTTCTGCCGGCTCCGCATTCAACTCGGGTTGCTCAGCGGGATCCACGGCCGGTTCTCGGGGCGCCGGTGGTGTATCGGGGTTAGCCTCTGGGGGCGTCTCAGCAGGAACCGCTACAGGAACGGCATCAGCCGGGGTGACTTCCGCCTTAGGTTCTGCCACAATGGCAGCAGCATTGGGTTCCGCCGCCGAGGTCGAATTTGGCATGGTGGGGTTGACCTCGATTCGCGACGCTAGCAAGCCCGCTTTGCCCGAGGACACGCGACCGACCTTAGGCAGCCAATCTCGGAAGACCCAATCTCGGAAAATCCATCCCGTGATGAGGGCAATGACGATCGCGGCGGGGTTGCTGACGAGGTCAAAAACTGTACTCACGACAAATAAGGGCACCTTCTTTGCCGTGTCGATGATCCTACTCGGTTCTGGCTGTGGTGGCGGGAGTAGTTGCGGGGTTTCGGCATCGGGCAGCCTCTCAAGGTCACCGCGAGGGGCATCCAACAACAAGCGCGACGGCTGCTTGACTCGGTCGGCCGTCCCGAGGCCGTCCGGCAGCTGGTGTGTCCCGACCAACGCCCTGGACTTCTGAGACTCGGGAAGCAGATCCCAGGCTTCCTTGATCCTCCACCAATCCACACGGTGGATGGGTGCCACGGGCGCGGACAGGATCAAGGGATACCGGCTTGCCGAAAGGGCGTACCAGCTTCCTTCCTCTGTCTGATTGATGAAGACCTTCTCACTACGGAGGCGCGCGCTGTCCTCATCGCTTGCAGGGAGAGGAGGCTGGGGCAGCACAATGAGTTCCGGATCCGCACCAGGAGCGGACCCCCATCGATGAAGGACGTCAAACACACGTGCTACGGGCGACGAGAGCGTCCTGGTAAAGTAGGGACGTTCTTCGCTAAAGCGGCCATACTCGAAGCCATAGACCTTGCCATCGTGCTGGCCCGTGACGTAACGGCTGTCCTTGGTCAGGATGTTCTGCTGGATGAGGTCATTGTCCTGCGTATTGGGACCCCACTCGGAGTATTTGAGCGACGCAATCGGGCTGCCGTCGGAGCGGTGGATGCTGACAGTGTACTCAGTCCGCCCAAGCGTGATAGTCCTGTCCTCGTTGCATTCCTCCTCGCCGTCAGCCAGGGCGTTCGGTTTGAAGCAGCTCTCAGACTCGACTTTGTTAACGTAACTACCGCTGGAGCCGAACTGCTTAATGATGGTTCCCGTAGCGGCATTCAACGTGACCATGGTGGTCTTCTTGTCCCCGGTATAGAGCACGCCGTTGGCCTTGTCGTTCCACGGCGCGAGCTCCTCGACCACCTTCTTCATGGTCAAGGCCATCTTGGCCAGGCCGGCGCCCTGCTCGTTGGGCCTCCAGAGATACAGCTCTCCGTCTCTTGTGGGCTCAACGACCCAGATGTAGTGGTCGATGGGGTCGTAGTCGTCGTCGAGGACCGAACTATTGGTTCGAAAATGTCTGGTCTCAACCATGGGGTGGTCGGCCTTGAAGTGCCAGCGTTCCTGTCCGGTCTTGCGATCGCTGGCGTAGAGGTCTCCATCGACGGTCGCCAGAAGAACAAAGTCTTCTACTTCCCAATCCTCCAGACTCCGCGCAACATGCTGCGAGAGTCCAGCCCCGGGGGAGGGGCCTCTGTACTGCGAGGGAGGCGGTGCTCGAACGGACAGGTCCGGAGCCAAAGCGTGGGCGCGCGCATCGTCAGGGATGAAGTGGTGGCTGTTGGAACGGGCGAGGATCCGCAGGCGGGATTCCTCGTTGTCCTCGCTGCTATCGGCACTCGATGGCTTCCCGTGGCGGTGAATGCGGGGAGTGTCGGCCGCTTGCTGGCCCGCCACGGTCGTGGCCGCGAGGTTGAGTGCGGCATGCTGCTCGTGTTCTGCCGGCGACCTATGCCGGGCGGGCGAGGGCGGGCGCTGGTGCTGCTGCTGAGCATCGGCGAGCGGGAGCCACGGGAGGAGGATCAGCGCGAGTGCCAACAGGTACTTGCGCTGCGGAGCGACATGGCCAGGCGGCCGTCGCAACATCTTGGGGACAACAACGTGGATGTCTGGAGCAGTTGAGTCAGGATATCATGGAGAGCAGGCTTCTGCAGTCCAGCGCGGCATCGACGAGAGAGAGTGAGCGCGAAAGAGTGTAAAGAACCTATTCTGCAAGGAATGGCCGAATAAAATGATGGTAACTGTCGCTAGTGCTTGGAGACGTCGCCGCTGAGAGATGGCGGTGCCAGCGGACCTTTTGATGGCGGCGGCGGCGGCTGAAGTAAGGGCTGGCAGAAAGAGGAGTGGAAAAAGGCCATGTGGAACTGGCGACCAAGGACGAAAATGGAACAATTGAGCAGTGAAGGGAGGTTGGCTGCCAAGCCGGGCACTTGCTAGGGCTGCTCGGATGGAACAACCTGGAAAGCGGGACCAGGGCGCACAGCCTAAGGAAAGCGAGGGCCCAGGCCCTGTTAACAAAGGACATCGCACGGGAGCTTCGAGTCATGGCACAACAACAGACGAGGCGTCTATACCTTGCATCCTTCATTTGCGTAGTAGTCTTATGAGCTGTTTCTTACAAGTCATACAAGTTGTAGTCCAAATAACTGCCTTGAGCATGGTATACTCCACCGAGACGTTCACATTTGGTGTACTCATCTAAAAGCCACCTTGTTTTGTTTATACCGGTTGATCTCTCCACATTTGCGCCCTGATTGAGGAGCAATTGCTTCCCTGACACGGGTACCTCTGTCTCAGGCCGAGTCCGAATGTTACATTGCACAGGCCTCGCAACTTCCCAGGTCTAGAGACATAAATGCTAATTAGTGTGCATGTTCGATTCTGCCGAAGTTGTTAAAGTGTTACAGTGTGTTCATCAATTGCCACCTCTTCCAGCCTTGAGTCACTCTTCGAGGTCTTCTCACTCATCAATCGTTGGAATGATCTCTTCAGTGGAACACACCCGTCATACGAGGGGCCTGTTTCTTATTTTTGCCCTGGCCCGGTGGCCCCTGGTGCAAGTGGGAGGTGCCTTTGACACTCCTTCCCCAGAAGATGAATCCCGGAGGGCGGGCGTCGGGTTTCCTCCTCCAACCAACTGGAAGTCTCTGGTGTCAAACCATCAAGCCTAGGCCAAACGCAGAACACACGGCTTTGCATGCATTCTCTGGATGACTGCTCTTTGCCTCATGTTGCCCTTCCTACGCGTCAATTCGGATGACTGATGGATTGAGTCAGGGGGCAATGAGGTGGACGTGCGTGACCCGAGGGAGACTCCGAGATCAGGTCGATCGCTCCCCAACGTGCATTCTCCCCAGCTCATATTCTTCCGACCAAAAGTCGTGGCCCCTCCCAATTCAGCAAGCATTCGTCAGTTTCAGCCAACTTCACCTCTACAGATCCCATGATCTCAAGGCAAATGCTACCATCGCGCGCCCCCAACCTCGGTCAAAAATGGGTGTTGTCACGGCGATTGCGCCACGCCCGCCAGGACCCACGGGTGGGACCCGGCGTGTGGGAAGCACGGGCCCCTGTAGGTTGAAGATGCTGCACCTCGCTGCCGCGAGATCTGTTCGTAGCTCCTCGAGACTCAGAGCTATAGCCAAGCTCTATGATGTACCACAATCAACCTGTTGGAAGACCAACAGCCACGATTCCACAGTGTTACATGGACGACAGGCCACGACAATGGGTTGGGTGCTCCAGAGCACCAAGAAGTGAATAAGGTTCTTGATCCTCTCTCATTTCCAGCGGTGGGCATCGCCCTGATCCTGTTAAATATTTTATTCTCAACCCCTGTTACTTCTCAACAGTAGGGCATCGGCAACCCAGCTTCCGAGTTTCAAGTTCCATGACTTCCAGCAACAAGCGTTTCAGGGTACCGCGACTTTCCAACACGGCCATTCCTCAACAAGTTCGCAGTCCATTATCTCGACAATATCCCTATCTTCTCGAGGATACTCGAAGAACATAAGGAGTATATGAAGCAGGTGCTCGACGTACTCTATAAGCAGAAGGCTCTTAGTCAATAAGCATAAGAACGAGTTCCATCTCAACGAGATAGTCTTCCTAGGCTTCGAGATTTCGCTATGACAGATTCGAACGGAACCAACAAAGACTGAGGCTATTAGGACATAGCCAAAGCTGAAGAACACGATAGAGGTCCGAGGATTCATTGGATTCGCCAACTTCTACCGGATGTTCATCAAGAACTTCGGCGAAGTCGTACGACCTCAGCACGACCTGACGAAGAAGGACATCGAGTTTTGATGGGAAAGGGAGCTAGAGCAAATGTTCCAGTGAATCCACGACGCGATTGTCGAAGACCCAGTGTTCGGACTACCATATCCTAAGAAGCCATTTGAGGTTGAGACCGACGCGTCGGACTACGCGATCGGCGGACAATCGGGTCAACGGGACGAAAACGGCAAGCTTCATCCAGTTGCGTTTTTCTCTAAGAAGCTGGTGGACCACAGCTCAACTACCCGATTCACGACAAGGAGCTGTTGGCCATCATCGAGGCTTTCCGAGAATGGAGACCCTACCTCAGCGGCACGACACACCCAGTTCAGGTGTACACGGATCACAGGAAACAGCTATATGAGAACTTGTCATCAGCGCAGTAGGCAAGTCAACCAATTCAATGTTATTGTTCTCTTACGTTGTTTTTTTGGTGAACGCAAAAATCGACCTGAGTTAAGATGTCGATGCGAAGCTTTACCAGCGTGGTGTCCTCTTTTCGAGAAAGGCTGAAACTCCTTCCACTTTGTCCCTGCTGCTGAACGCAGAGTAGTAAAGGCCCCGCTCAAACTGCTCGTCTCGTCCAAGGGAATCCGCTAAAGAGACGATTAGAAGACCACTAGACGAAATCTAGGTGCCTACGTAGGCAGCCACTAACCTTGACAGATAGCCTCTTTCGCTAGGCACAGCGCAGAGTTGCTTTGTTGGGCGAGCTCGCTGGCCACCTTGACTGTATTTTGAAGCACTGTTCCTGGCTGGAAAAGCTCCGCGACCACGCCCATGGACTGAGCCTCCTGTGAGGAGATTGGTTGCCCAGATAGGATGATTTTCATGGCCTACAAGTTAATCCGTAACCAATCAGAATTCGGCGTTTCGGAATCTTGAGTGAACAAAATTCACCCTGTATTTCCCCACCACATTCGTCAAGCGGTGAGTTCCTCCAGCCCCAGGTATCAAGCCAATCTTGACCTCGGGCAAGCCAAACCTTGCGGAAGCGGACGCGAAGATAAGGTCACACTAGAGCGTCTCATCAGTATCAACGCACCGGAATGCCCAAAGATGGAGATGGAACGTAACAGCCTACCATCAGCGCAAGTTCGAATCCGCCGCCGAGCTAAGAGGATGTCAGTATCGGTGATTCAACTGAAGAGACCGACTCACGGCAACACCCTCGACGGCGGCGAGCAACGGCTTCTTGACGCCTGTCATCCCGTTACACAAGTCCTCTAGATATCGACGCTGGGTTGCGGACTTGGTGTCCAGAGTGGCGATCTCTTGGATATCAGCGCCGGCTGCAGCCATGGCGAGTTGGGCCGGGTAATGTCAGCGGGGAACATGCGACTTTCTTTCTCAGCAGAATAGCACGACGCAGGGGGCCGAACCGCAGAACACCTTGTCCGTGCCCGTGACGACAATGATTAGGACACTTTCATCTCGAGATGCGTCGCGGAGTTCCTCGAGGAAGCAGTCGATGAGTTCCTGGGAGAGCGCATTCCGCTTCTCCGGCCGGTTAATGGCTAGGACACGAACGTGCTGGCAGGGACTGCTGGGCAATATGAGGCATGGTGTCATGTTCTTTGATTGTTGTGGTTGTCGCTTGTTGTTGGTCCCCCCAAGAGTTAAAGGTTCTCGTTGCCGGCGTGAATTGCTCAGCCGAGCCCCGAGAAAATGCGAAACGAGGCGAAATTTATACAACGTTACCTAACTAACTAAGGTACCGAATAATCGTAGAAACCAAGACGCTTGCGGTTTTGGTTCTGAGAGGTCAAACTCCCTTGGCCTGCCTAACCGAGCGGATCACGCGGAACCTGGGACCTTGCTATTGACTGCTATGTAATCGTCACGTAAGAATCATATAATCAAGAGAAGGACAGGTAAGAGAAAACAAGAACATAACGGTCCCTTCCGAACCGGTGGTGTCTTGCATAACTGCAACATGCAAGCTCGGAAAACCGGGGTTGTTGCCCCGGACCGGTTCGTCCCCGGACCGACCAGCCGCGCATCGAGGCGCTCCGTAACACCTCTTAGTGACTGGGACAGCGCGGGTATAATTTTAGCTTTTGGTATCTGCATGGCGAGTCACGCGTATAGACCGACCGATGTGCGTTGCAATACGACATGCCAAGGAAGGTAGTGGGTGGATGCCGGACAATGCTCCGAAACCGATGTTGAGCGCTTGTCCAGCTGATCTCGGAGGCTCCCTAGGTGCATCATAACTTCCTAGACGGGCGCGATGCACAGCGCAACCGGAAGGGACAAGGCGCTTTCCCTATTAGGAATCCAGTCTGCTTCCGGGGCCGCTTTCGCCGTTCAAGGAGCAGCAATAATCACGTTAAATGCTTGGTGTAGCAAAACGGACTGTTCCCTTGGTTGAACTTAAAACCCGGGCTCGTCTACAGTGGTCAAACGGCGTATGTAGTTGGGGCAGGGAAAACGGAAAGCCATTCAATATTCGTCCCATTAGTTCAAGCACTTGTGTCCGACTCTTTAGAATTGGAACCTCAGATGGCTGAAGAGACGCTCGACAACGGTCGAGCTGTGCCGAAGCGATTCACTACCGGGCCCACCGTGCCATGCCCCTTTTCCACTGTCACAGCTGCGATACGACAAGCTGCCAGCAGCTACCCGGACTCGGTTGCTGCCATTGACCTCTCCCAGGCCGTCCGACGAGAGATTTCGTACGTTCAGCTGGAGGTCCGGGCTCGACGGCTGGCTCAACGCCTCCGGAGGGCTGGTGTTGGCCCGGGAGACCGGCTGCCGCTGGTGGTGAGGCGCGGCATTGAGATGCTCGTCGGCATCTTAGCTATCCTGCTGTGCGGCGCCCAGTATGTGCCGCTGGATGGTGGAATCGTCACTGAGGCCACAATGCAGACCGTCATCTCGCAGTCGGGCGGCCGTGTGGTTGTCTGTACAGCATCCACGAGGAGCCGTTGGCAGCAGACAGATTCCGAAATTGTTCGAGACTGCCGCTATCTGTGTGTTGAAGATGGCGCCGATGATGCAGAGGAGGCGGTCGATGCCATCGATCTCGCTACGCCTGGGAGTGGCTGCTATGTGATATATACGTCAGGTTCGTACGGAACGTCAATCGGAATGGGCCAACACGCTGAAGATGGACTAGGGACGACAGGAACACCTAAGGGTGTTGATGTTACACATGCCAACGTCACGAACTTGGTGTGTTCGTCACCAGGCGACCTGGGGATTCGGCCAGGGATCAGGGTGGGCCAAGTCCTGAACATCAGTTTTGACATGGGTAAGCAAGCTTCTCATCACCGTCTTAGCGGACCGGGCTAACCCCAGAACGCAACAGCTGCCTGGGAGATTTTCGCCTGTCTCTGCAATGGAGGAACTCTCGTGCTGCGTGGCTCAGATTGGGCACCAACGCTGAAAGAGGCGAGCGTCCCAAAGACGACATCTCGAGATTAACTGTATCTAACAAAGAGCTTAGATCGACGTTCTGATATGCACCCCCTCGATTCTGTCTCGCCATTCACCGGAGGAGTTCCCCAATATCAAGGTTGTTGCGACTGCGGGAGAGCCAAGTAATCAGCTGTACGGCTGGACTGTAGTAAGACCCAGTCTCAAAGGGACTTGTACTAACAGTTGAGCAGCCTTGCTGATAAGTGGGCAAAACACGGCGCCTATTACAACTGCTGCGGGCCCACCGAGACCACAATCGTCAACACCATGCTCCGGCACCGGCCGGGGGAACCACTGACGATCGGTAAACCCACGCCAAACAACTCGGTATATATACTCGACGACGATCTACGGCCGGTTGTTGTAGGCCAGGTCGGTACGTTGTGGGCCGGTGGTCGAGGAGTCTCCCGGGGCTACGTCGGTTTGCCGGATATGACGGCTGCAAAGTTCCGCCAGGATCCGTTTGCCGGCGACGGGTAAGTTAATTATGGCGTCGAGCTCCAGCTATTCTCCGTTGCTCAAACGTCGCAGGTCGATGATGTATAATTCGGGGGATCTCGGTCGGTGGCTTGCCTCCGGGGAGATTGAGGTTTTGGGCAGGAGGGACGACCAGGTCAAAGTTAAGGTATGGGGTGGTGGTGTCCCCGGAACCCAAAACAAGCCAAAGCTAATGGCCTCAGGGGTTCCGAGTTGAACTAGATGGTGTCGCACATGTCATGGCGGCGGCACCGAGCGTTCAGAATGCGTACGCGGTGCTCGTCGACGGAGAGATTCACGGCTTCCTTCACCCAGAAAACTGCGACACACAGCAGGTGATGCAACAAGTCGAGAAAGTTCTCCCATACTACTCCCGCCCAGTGCACCTACACACCATCGCCTGCATTCCCCTCACCCAGAACGGAAAAGTCGACAAGGCCGCGCTACGGGCCATTGCCGTCGGACGGAATAGTCCCAGAGAAACTACCGGCTCATACACCGAATCCGCACCCACTCACCCCGACTTAGAGCTGGGAATTGTCGACTCCAAGGAGAAGGGCTCCATCGGTACGTCCAGCGGGGGATCTAGCTCGATTCTGGACCTCAGCCGTCCAATCGCGCAGATGGGCATCAACCTCGAAGGCGACCTTCCGGACAAGGACAGGCAGAAGTTCTTCAGGAACCTTGTGCATCGAGTGTTCATTCCGTACCGTTTCCTGCTGATGCTGGTGTACCTGGGCAACTTTGGAGCCTTGGCTTCCATGTATGTCAACGGCATCAACCGCGCCTGGATTGGGTATATGATCGCCATTGACCTTCTCCTCGCGGTGCTCATCCGCCAGGACATGATCATCAACGCGCTGTACACGATCTTCTGCTCAATCCCTACATGGTGGCCCCTTTGGATCCGGGCATCTTGCGCCAAAATATACCACCTCGGCGGCGTCCATGCTGGCGCGGCCACCTGGTCCAGCTTGTGGCTTTTGGCGGCGAACATCAGTGATGTGTACTGCTTCTCCAGCCGCTCGTGCGGCAGCAGCTATCCGTACCACTCGACGGCCTTCCAGGTCGTTTCGTGGATGTTGACCGTCCTCTTCGCCATCATGCTCGCTTTCGCTCTGCCGCAATTCCGGACCAATCATCACGACTTCTTCGAGCGCTCGCACCGCTTTATTGGCTGGACCATGCTCGGTCTGTTCTGGGTGCAGAACTTCCTTGGCGTCGCCGACGCGGCCACGTCCACATCGTCGTCATACGCATCAGGGATGGTGTCAGCGCCAGGCTTCTGGATCTTGGTCGTCGCCACCCTCAGCATCGCGAGCTCCTGGTTTTGGTTGCGCAAAGTGCGAGTCGCTTCCGAGGTGCTCTCCAACCACGCCATCCGGCTGCACTTCGACTACACGGTCCCGGTCAACGGCACCTTCACACGCCTGTCGTTCCGGCCGCTGCTGGAGTGGCACTCGTTCGCGACGGTGCCGGCGCCCGAATCGCAGCGTGGCTACCCGGCCGGCTACTCGCTGGTGGTGTCCAACGCGGGCGACTGGACGCGCGCGTGCATCCAAAAGGCCCCGACACACGTGTGGGTGCGCGGCCTGCCGACGTGCGGCGTCATGCGCATCGCCACTCTCTTCAACCGCATCGTCATCGTCGCGACCGGCTCCGGAATAGGGCCCCTGCTGGGCCACATCCAGCAGCCGACCTGCGCCACCGCGTGCCTCTGGAGCACCAAGGACCCCGTCAAGACATACGGCAGCGACGTGGTGGACCTGGTAAAGAGGCAGATACCTGGAGCTGTCATATGGGATACCACTGCGCAGGGAAGACCGGACATGGTGAAGCTGAGTTATAATATGGCCCGTAGTTTTCGAGCTGAGGCCGTGATTATTATTGCGAACCGGAAGATTACAACCAAGGTTTGTTATGGGCTTGAAACACGAGGCGTGCATGCCTACGGCGCGATTTGGGATAGTTAAAGGGGCCTCTAGGTGGAAAATGGGTTTGAGGCGCGGTAGATTACCCTAATCAACCACCCCTTTTCCTCACGAATTTGTGTGTTATATATTTGCTTGTTTGCATCCTTCTGAAACACGATCGCTCCAACCACCTACATGACTCGCGGCGGCGAATCGTTCCAATGGAATTTGCCGTGGTTCCATGCGAGTGAGTACCTGCTTAGCTGCAATAACCGTAGCCCACTGATACATGTAGCCACCGGCCCTGACACGGGTAAGTCGGCCTCTTCTCCCTATCTTCCTTACCCAAAAGGTACCAGTTGCTGACCGCCACGCGCCCGTTCCTTTGTAGGCAAGCCCTTGTTCAACTTGAAGGAAACCGCCTTGGCGGTTTATCAGAGCGAGAAACAGAGAGTGGGGATATATGCCGAGTTCATGAGACACTAAGAAATGAAACCGTCGCTGAAGGAACTTTATCGCCAATTCACCGAAGTCGCAGACAAGATCTTCTGGACGAGTGACCAGGATTACAAAAAGAACACAACAGGACCCTCAGCGGACTCCTGGAGCAGGTGAACAGTTGACAAGGGCCGAGAACCATTCCTGCGAAACCTTTCTGTACATCTTGTCCAAGAGACGTAATGACCCGAACATTTGGGAGCAGAAAAGAATGATGAGGGAGTTCCATATGCCGATGCAATGGTCGACGCGCTTTGCATCGTCCAGGATCCGACAGACTCGAGCGACTGGAAAAGAGGGAGCGAGCGGGTGGGCCAAGTGTACAAGAACGCCTACTTCACCATCTGTGCCGCCTCCAGTCGCAGCTAGCATCAAGGTTTCCTCAAACACCGCCAACACTTCGATTTCGACTTCCAGTCCTGGCTCTCCCCGCCGGCAAGGGGCACATACACGCTCGCCTTCGCAGGTCAGCAGTTTAGCAGCGACGTCATGTCCACTGACGATATCTGGCTTGAGAAGCTTTCCGGTTGAGAGGCGCCGCTCCTGGAACACCCAGCCCCGGCCAATCCACAGAGTAGTCGCCAATCTCTTCGGGCAGCTCATGGTGCACTTCGAGTGTGGCCAGGAACATGTATCAGAAAACAGCGCATCCAGCCTCATATTTCGGGTGGATTGGCAATCACTCAAGCTCGCCATGGTCGATCGAGGGTCGCTATATTTCACTTTCCGCTACTGCGGCGTGGTTTACTCACGCTGCTACTTTACGTACGAGGCGGACAGGCTGCCTGCTCTGTTAAGCATTACGAACTGTGCGTCTGACCTTACCGGTGACAGATATCTCGCCGGACTCTGGAGAGAGGACCTTTATCACGCACCGCTGTGGTATCAAGCGCGGCGCCGGGAGAATTGGGTTAAGCGTCTTGCTGCCCTCCGGGCCTCGCCTGGTACGGGTGCGCCCTCGTAATCATACGGGATTCGTTGGTTACGACATGCCTGAAATCTCCACGGTTATGGTCACACTACACTTCCGCCCCGAATATAGTGACAATTTTATGGATCAACTGTCCTGAGGGGCGCCCGGCTGAATCCGTTTGGTGAAGGGCAGAGTGGCACGATACGGGTTTCGGGAAAGGTGCTGCCTATAGCGACCGATCGCCGGCTGCTACAGGAACCCTAGCAGGGGGAAACCAGTCCCTCGAAGATATACCATCAGGAGGCCGTGATCGCATATTGTATCCCCGATTGGATGGGTGATATCTCGAATCAGGAACCGGGGAATCTGGAGATGTTGCTCTTGTCCAGCTCCTGTTCTCAGACATTGACCGCCTAGTACGCCGATGAGCGCGAAGATGGCCGAGACAAAGAAGACAGAGAGAAGCGCACGAAGAAGGGGAAAGCGAAGAATACCGTGGAGAGGAGAGTGATAGTGAAAGAGAGGGTGAGTCTAGAGAGGCTGAGAGGGACAGCACGGGCGACGATACAGCCAAATTTTGTGCTCTTTGCAACCACAAGGAGCTCAACCGACACGCTTGGGTCTTGTCGTCCGTGCGGCTGAGAAGGCTGGCGGGTACTATCGGGTGGACATCTTCCTAGCGACTGCTGGTGAAGCGAGAGCACATCACATGTTCAAAGATGTGGAGGACTGTAACTATCGACATCATCTGAAGCGGCACTTTGGGCCGAGGACCCGAGGTTTCTTTCCCCGACATGTTGTCTGCCCTGTCCACTTCTGTCAGGTTAGCGGTACAGGCACCACCTCAGCAATGGAACACAGTGACAAATAATCGCGTTTGGAAGTCATTGCGGTTGAACGGTTGTTTAGCATGAGATGGTTCTGCATGGCGACATGGGTTCTTACCTTCCTACCCGACCCGTTTCAACCAAAGGAGTACGCATTTCCGGTGGCTCCTTTTCCGCCTGGATACTCGTCAAGGACCCATCTGCGGGCCAGTGGCTGCCTGGCCCGGTGTGAAGGTCTGGGCCGCTCAGAGAATCGATGGTCAGTGTAGGTAGGGTACGTTGCTGCGGCAGCTCGATCCGTCCCCGCGAGTCCTAACTTGGGCAACGTTGCCAAGACTCAGTGAGTTTGCACCGAGCTGACGCCAGATATCATGGTCCATGATGAACTGCCATCTTCCTCCTCAGCAGGGCCAGGAGGTCTTTCGGGGGAAAGGCAAGCGAAACTAAGTCGTCCTGTTCCAACAGACGAGGCAACCCGGCCCAGCGGCCCCCATCGAGAATCCCGGGGGTCAAAGAGACAGAGACTGAATCACGGATGTTTACCAAGTACGTCGACCGAGAGTTTGTTTACATGTAAGGCGTGGGGGGTTGGCATCGTCTCATTAGATCGTGGTTTGCTTGTTAAGCGAACTGCGAGCTCCTCCTGCCTTTGGGGGCCGAGCATTGTGAGGCCACTGTTCTTCTGTGTTTGGCCCCCAGCCGCAGCTAAACTGCTGGAGATAAATAGGAAGGGAACGATGGCACATTCGTCTTGCTTTGATGAGTTACAACACAGTTGAAACCGAGAAGTCCGCGAAGTCAACTCCAATCTCTCCTCCTGCCTTGATATCGACCGGCTTCTGTCTCAGGAGAGGTAACGACTTGGCTCTTTCGTCTTTACAACTTGACGTGACTACAGTAGTATCTAACAACTATGTCAATAGGGCCTCGCCAAAACGACAAACACAATGCAGTTCAAAGTCCTAGCTACACTCGCTGCACTTGCGGCAACTTGTTCGGCCGACCAAATGAAAGTTTTCACGGTCTGCAAGGAAATCTTTGGTTGCGACAGCGCCTCTGGTCGGTTCTACACAGCCTACGGCAATTACTACGTCAACGCCAATGAAGGGCTGCAGGGGCACAGATGTTCCGGGCATGACGGAATTCTGCGTTGACTGGGGCAATGCCAGAGCCCACTTCAGGTTCGCCCACCAGTCCTTCAAGCGTTGTCTGAGGATTGTTTCAGATGTCGAAGTGTACTGTGGAACTACTACCTGCAAGAACTCTGTCTTGGACGAGGTCGCTTGCACTTGGTAAAAGCATTGAGAACAGGGTAGATGGAGCTGGGGACGGAGCATGCATTCCAGCCTACACTCCAGTCATGTACATACTGAGCGTCAGAGGATGCGTCTCAATGGAATCAAGGAGATAGCTCAGGCGGTATCACGGACATCAGTAGTGAATTCGCTACTGAACGGTCTGATAGGCGTATCCCCTGTGCCGATGTGGACTGATCCTTGTCAGGTACCCCCTTGGAAAGTTTTAGTGGTATGAGGTCCGTTTCCTGATATGGGTCAGGCAGATTTTGGCTAGAATACCCAAGATGCCTATGCGCAGTACGCGGCGATCAGAAAGAGGCTCTCCTGTCTATCTGCCCGCTCCATTCAAGCTGAAGTCGTAGAGGTGATCTTATCCTTTTGAAAGGTGGTAGTCATCTGCGAGCTTGAAGGGCCAAGCCAAGATGAAACGAGACAACAGTACCTTATTCACGGCTTTCCCCCTTGACGAACTTCACAAGGCAACCAGAAGCCAGCACAGTTCATGGTTGATATACCAATCACTATTACCCAGTGCAAATGCTATTGGAAAACCAAATCATGAACGTCTATCCAGGCTCACAGCCTGACCATCACACCAACAGCACCCAAAACTGGGACCAGCCACATCCCCAGCTCCCGTCCGATACCATATCTCGATTCAGCAGCTGTTGCCACAACAGTCGATGTAGGCCAGTGATGAAGGAGTGGTGCTTACCAGGTGGGTAACTGGGGGTGAAGTAGCCGTGTTCACTGTTCCTTCTAACACCGGTCAGATCAATCACAACAGTGACGGGTTTCAGGTTTCGTTGGGAGTCTGAGCACTGGGCAGAGGGACTGAACACGTCTGAGTCATCTCCTTCAAGTTGAAGCTCCCACAAACAAGCAAGACGTCAGATGATGACTCGCCCAACCACGAACACAAAACCTCAAAGTGTACCATGTGTGGACATCAGTATAGCACAGACGTTTCAGGAACTCAAATGACGTTCTGCCATCCCTTGCCGGTACGTAGTTAGTTAGCATTTCCTCTTTCAGTCTGTTGTTGCAGTACAAAAAATTATCACATGCCTCGCAGACATTGGCAGGTCGATTCGGAATTCTACTCGTCAATGCAATACGGATCACCCGCACTTCGATCTCATCTTCAAACCAACAACTCTCGTCTTGCCAGGGTTATCTTCCCCGCGACCACCAGATCTGGAAATTCCAGGCTCTGTTGTTCCACTTCCAAATTCATATTTTCCAAGCCCATATCTGAGCATTCAACAACAGTGTGCCTGCTTCGAGCATCCCGTCGTCCTCAAGATGGTTGTCGACGATAGCAAATGGGTCGTCACCAACTTCTGAGTTTCAACGCCACTGCCGGTGTCTATGCAAAGTCCAGCTTACTAACCGGAAAGACTAACAGGACGCTCTAGAACTGGGCGGTGACTTCGATATCGTGGCGCATCTCAATGTTGCCAAGGGGAATCAGAACCAAATCCAGACAGATCTGGCCAAATACCTTGATACCCTCGAGAAAAGCAACCATGCTGGACTCGATAACTCGTATGTGAGCAAAGCAAAGCAAGGAGAGACATCCAAGGAGACCTGAACGACTAAGCTGCTTAACCCCAACGATAAGTCCAACGAGCCACACCTCAATTCAAACAAGCCTACAATGCCCTGTTGAACCACAACGACGTGCGGCGTGCCCGGCAGTACGTGCACCAAGCATGGTTGCTCAAGCTGTGCCGGGACATACAGCCCGATGACGTGGAGCCTCTCTTGCAGATGTTGGAGAGGGCGAATCTCCATGCGTCCAAGCCGCTCGAGCTTGTGTGACGACACTATCGACACTTTCAAGGAAAAGATGAGCGACATGAAGGGCAAAAGCGTCGAACCGTCCAGTTGTGCCCCGTACAGGGAACAGCTCCGAGACATTCAGATATCAGGGCCATCAACCTAGACCGAGAATGGGGCGGTAAAAAGGGCGAGGGAAGTTTTTGACAATTTCGCGCCTGAGATGTAGGTAACGCTTGAGAGTTATTCTCCGCACCGGTCGCCAACAAAGTTCTGGCCTGGATGGACGTAAGGAAGCGGAGAGGATGGCCAGCCTTATCAATGAGCCAGGAGACATAGAAAGTTTGTCAGGACACTCAATTACAGAGTCTGCTCCCTTGAACAAGTCACTGCACCAACCATTCCACCCGAGTTGCTCTGGTCGTAGTCTTCAGTGTACTGGTACCACGGTACCACCATATACATGTCATGTCGATCTACCTCGGTCATTTTACAAGTTAACGAAGTAGACTCTTTACCAGCACCTTCTGCTAGTGAGCTTCAATCATGACAGGCTTAGGTGATTCAAGACAAGTCACGAGTACCACTGCCTCTGAAACTCATACAGCTTCTCTTTCACAACGCCAGCAACCGCCGTGGCGATGCTCCGGCTGCGACCGTTCGCACCACTCACATCTACCCCGCCTCAACCCAGTGTTGCATATCTTCCCAATTAACCCGCACCACTGGCATCGGCGGGCTTTCATTGCTCCTTAGGCAACCACTCCCTCGCCTCGGCGATGGTCTCGCCTGCCTCATCGTTCGTCATGTCCCCAATAATCATGAGTGCCCGGGGCATCTTGTAGTCATCGATCTCACGTTGGGTGTTGCTGTCAAGTTACGAAGCAATGTCTGTCTCGGGATCCCACTGGAACAGTTCCCTATCGGCGTCTTCCAAGGTGAGGCACATGTGGACGACTCTTTTATATCTAGATGTTGAATTGAGTCAGGTCGGATTGGTTGTGAATTGGCGGGATAGGCACCCGGTTGACTCACCGTCGTACTCGGGCAGGAGCAGATTTTGGATGTCTTCTGCAACACCGCTGTCCGGAACTTGGGGGTCGACAGGATCAAAGCGGCGATCGGTACGGCGGTGTCGAACATGGTAATTTTAGAAGGGTGATGGATGATTCCAAGAGATGGTTTGGGTTGGATGTGCGCTAACTACTTGCTGACCTGGGAGGTTGGGTTTAGAGACGGAGTACAGGAAGTGTGGAACGTAGTGTTGTAGGATTGAAAATGAAGGCGACTTATATATGGCCCTGTGTCGGTCTATTCCAAAATCTTGACGCCATAGTGGCCATGACGGCCCGGGAGGATTCACAACAACTGCGTTGTATTTGTCTTGGAACCAGAACCTGGAACATTTCTCCTTTGGAAAAAAGGTAACGTTACTGTAGTTAACTAGAAAGAAATCGCTGTCCAGCTCCACACCTAAGGACGTACACAGTAGTGGAAGAAGTGGATCCTGGCAGGCCCGCTCAACCCATATCAGCTCGAGATCAGGAAGCGGCGGGATGGACCTTGGCCAAGGAAGAAACCAGACTTGGTCTGCGCCGTCGATCAATGACACTTCCGTCGCAGCCGGTCAATCAATAACATCTGCGGCAGCCAGTTGATCACTGACAATGTAACTGCTGCGGGCGTGGTTTGGCCGTAAGTGTGCGTAACTGACTCTCGCTAGTGCAGTAATCTCAATGGCATCTGCTTGGTCGTCGTCGATGTCGCCGACAGAGATGAACCCCGAGGGGACCCTGCGAATATTGACGATACGGTCGACGTTGCTGCCCAGCCCCGAAGTGGGCAGGTTTCTGAGCTCTCCAGGGGAAGACGGAGAACAGTTCGACGCCAGCATCAAGGTTGGGGTCGGTGCAGATGTGGTCGACTTTTCTTGGCTGTCAGATGGGGTGCACACTGGAGTTGGGTGTCGGTCGATGAGGGGAGGATGACTTACGGTCGTAGTCTGGTAAGAGAAACTTTTGGGAGTTCTATGGCAAGCTCGCGGTCCAAAATGACGCCGGCGATGGCTACTTGGTCCAATTTAAGCTTCTGTGGGGCGGCCATGGTGCTGTGAACTGGAAAAATAAGAAGTGGGATACAGCTCGGTAGAGTGTACCAGGTAGGCTACGCGCTTGATTGAGACTGTGTATGTTTCGAGATGAAGGCGAGAAGAGGAGATAAGGCACAAATGGCAAGATAATATGTAATTTGGTGGACGCCTAAGATGATGCCGTGTTCGACCACTGTGCCTATCCATTTTGAAACAAGGACACTCTCCTTGGAAGGGAAGTGTCGCTGTCCGGCTCCTTTGTGTCTACACATACCAAACGGTAGAGGAAGAGATTCCTCGGTTGGTGGATTCAACCCCCTGTCGAGATCGAGGTCGGCCGCCCCGTTCCCTCATCAAGACGGGAGCCTTCCAATACCATGGGTCGACCGAGCAAGCGGCTGATCGGAGCCCACTCGCAACCACAGCCGGAAGCTGCGTGATTGGCCATTGGTCAAGAGATTGAACTTCGTGGAGGTCTCGTAGCGTTGATCATTGTCAAACTGCTAAGTGACATCAGCAACGTCCAGTGATTGAGGGGAACAGGAGCTGAGGCCTGATGCAGTGATGTACGAACGAATACTGATGATTTAGCACGGGTCAACCTGTAGGAGATGTACTTGAGGCTGCAAGTGAAAGACATCATTCACAGACCAGTCTGCAGGTTTCCAGTGGCGGCGGCAGAGATCTGGCTGCCTCAACGGCCAACACGTCGTCATGAATGTACCACCACGGTCGCGATCTCGACGGGATTGTATAGTCTGCCCAATTCACCGTAGCATCCCTAAACACCTCAATCGAGCCCTGCACCCCGTGCGGCCCGACAGACCAGACCCCTCGCTCGACCAGGTCTGCCAGTGGTCCAGCAGCGGCTCCAGACGCTACGGCCGGTGTGGGTTTTCCCCAAAAGGCTTGAATCCATGCTGGAACAGCTCGTCCGCCCCCTTACTCTCCATCTCGGCTCCGCTGCTGAAGCGCGCGCCGCGGAGATCAAAGGGCAGCAGTAGTCGGGAAGGCACGTGCGAAAGAGGGATCCGGAATTTTGACAGCGTCCATGGCCGCAGGCGTAAGCAAGGCCTCGCTGGGACGGTTGTCATGGTCGACCCTGGCGCCCCTGCTTTGCCGACGCACCGCCTCTATGGCGTCACAGAGCTCATCCCGCGCCGCGACGCACCCCGCTCTCTGGCCATGGCCATACGGCCGCCACTTCCATCTTCCGATCTTGTCGCCGCCGTACAGGGCCGGTTCGTCGGAGGGAGAGGCGACGGCCTTGCCGAGACGGACAGGGTTCTCCAGTTGGAGAGGATGGTCTCCAGAGGATGCCCGCTCTGGGATGTTTACCCACTGGAAACGCACACTCGGTGTCGGCCGGGTGCACAAGGAAGGAGGCGAGGTGGTGGCCCTGATGGTAGAGCATGCCACCGCCCGACTTGCCGTCGCAGGCGTTCATGTGGGAGAATACAGGCGCACGGTGGAGTCCCCGGGCTCGTCCTAAATGTCGGCCGTGTGATGTCGAAAAGGCCGTTCAAGTTGCCGTCTGGGTCTGGCATGCCTCCAACGACGAAGGAGAGCGGAGCAACGGGCATGTGTGGCGCAGCGAGGAAGGCGGCCAGGGAGGGATGCAGCCTTGGGCGGATGGACTCGGCCGCGTCGCCGTGCGTGCTGAAGTAGGTGGCGCGGCTGCGCTCGGCAGCTGGGTCGAGCCGACCATCGGCCGCTAGTCAGTAGTCAACGAGATAATTGTGGAGGGCGGCGCACCGCGCGTGGTCCATTCTTTCAAGGTCTGCCCGCGGTGGATTGTCAAGAGTGACAAGATGGTCGTCGATGCTGGGAAGTTGGGACGCCGACATGGTGTTGGAGCTTCTGCTTCCTCCATTGTTAGGGAAATGTGTTAGTTATGAATTGAATCAAACGATTTCAACCCTTCTCTCTGGACGCGACTTTGATGCTTATGGGGTACTAAGGAGAGACATTTGCATGGCTGATGCTGATCGTCGCGCATCACCCCGCCTGGAGACCAAGAGTTATGTAAAACAAGTGTTGTGTAGATGTTGAATAACTAACTTTTAATACCACTTAGTTACCAGGACCGTGCGGAACACTGCAGACGCTAAGCCCAGGCAACCAGGTAGGAAGCACGGTATGTCCACGACGGCACCGAGGCCAGGGGGTGTGTAGCGAGGGAGGAAAGAATAGAGGTAAGAAAGCCATCCTCCTGTAACAGGCATTTTGCCGGTCAGATGTTTTGTCTGTACGAAGATGGTGAGATCCTGGCTAAACCCTCGAACCCTCAGAATCCTTCATCCCTCAAGATTTTCCATGGAAAGAGCATCCTCGAAGCAAGTACTGTCTACCACTCAGACGTTGTACCCACAGCCCCATGCGGGGATTACCATGAACAAGTCCGGCAGCCCAGGACTGCTGTGTATCGCAGCGTGCGGGAGTTCAACCCACTGCCTCTTGCCATGGACTGGCATTTGAGACCACTTCACCAGCATGCTCTTTTGTTTGTTGCTAGTTCAGGTGAAATTTGTATTATCAAAGGGCGGGTCGTGGGTGTTGTTGCTGCTGGTTGCCAGCTGTCAGCACAGTTGTCCGATGAATTTTGGTTCTTCCAATATTTCTTGATCCATCCGAAACCTCAGGTAGGTAAGGTAGAGAGAGATTAGAAAGGCGTTTCACACGCCGTCCTGATCACTTTGTCAGAAAGCAGCCTCCCTTGTTATCGTTGTTAGATGAAGACCCTGTACTACGGCTAAGGTCACTGCCTACGTTACCATCGTCTTCTCCAAGGTGTCTTGCTTTCAGTGTTATCTATACATTCTTTGGCGGTTTACGGTGTGTCATGAATAGCGCAGGCCCCGGAAGTAAGGTACCCAAGCGCTGGAAGCTGTTGTTTGTCACGCACGGTTTTAGTAGCCTAGCAGCCTAGCAGCACCCATAACCGAGTTTTACAGCTTATAACTCGGCCAAAGATGGAACAATACCACTGTGAATATATCTTATAAACACCCAAGCACTGATTTGTCGGGCCGGTATTGTGTCGTCGCGACCTTGCCAGGTGAGTGCAGTAGTTCAGATAGAGTCACCACCACTCGCTCGCCCGATATGCCAGTCAAAGCTGGGCCTATACACTTGAGAAGTTTCCATTGACACCCGATGGACAATAGTTGTTGTTCTCCTCTGAACTAATCGTACCGTTCTCCGCCCCACCGTTTCTGCTTGACTCTTGGGCGGGCTTCTGGATTTCTGAATATAAACTCATCCCCTTCGCTCCCAGACTAACTCGCAGTGATCTCTTCCTGCCCAAGATCATTACCAGCACCCCTCGCCGCAGTTGCCTCTTCTCTTTTCTCTCCTCTCCGCTGACTATTTCTTTTTTTGTTTCACATTAAATCAAAAAGGAGAAGGTCGGGTTTCCCCACGAACATCGGGCTTCTCGTCGACTGGTTCCCGCGGGCTGGCTTTCGGTGGCAGCGTGGTCAGGGCTCCCCGCGGATTCTCCGCTCTGACTCGCGCGACGACGTCGTCCGTCGTGCCATCATCGACATTCCCGGCGGCGGCAACGCCAAAGTTCGCAAGAGGGATGCGAAGAATCTGGTGGTGAGCGCGCTGGCCGCTACGGCCAGAATGATCAAGGATGCCGAGAACGGGATTCGCCCCAGTGAAGGCGTTACTGATTACCTTGAGCGGGTGACCCAATTCTCTCAGCTCTCTCGCTCCATTTCCGACGACGTCTGGTAAGTCTGATTAGTGACAGAAAAGACGCTGACATCGAACGAAAACAGGGTAGAGATGGCCTACTATATTGCTCATGCCCGGTACGAGTACAAGCCCCACACCCCGGAGTCTCACAAGAAAGGAAAGGAGAACCGGCTTACGGCCCTGGCCCATATTATCGAGATCTCATTCACGCCGCCGGCGACCACTGGTATGTGCATGTATCGGCCTACTTAATCTTCCCTGCTCCTATTCGACCTTTCCCGCAAGCCAAACGGCCGAGGTGTTGCAGAAACAGAATCGGAACGTGCGGCTGATAAGCTTGCTTCACTTGAAAAGGTACTGGATGACCCTTTAGTTCTATACTATCCCCATACAATGGGCGACGAGGCACTCGACTACGACATCGAGGACGACGCCTCCGTCTCCGACGGAGAGGTCAAGTCGGGCAAGGATGTAGGAGTGCTTGATGATGAAGCCGACAAGCAGCTGCCAGAGCAAATGAAGGAGGTCACCATCCAGGATGCCGACGGCGATGTTGAGATGGTCATGCGAGGGCTGGGCGGAGCCTGGAGCGCACAATTCTTGCTCTGGTTAGTGGATTAGCTTTGGGGTCATAGCGGTTACTTACGTTTTCTTCATCAATCGAGCACATGGGATTTGCATGCAAACGACTAGAGGAGTTCAGGGTTTCTTTTGTCGACGGTGTTAGAGGGCTCGGATCACGGGTTAGATGGAGCGTAGGGTTTAGTTCAAGCTCGGCATCATCACATCGCCACAACTCGCGCCGACAGATCAATTGATTACTTGTGTGTTTTCGGGGGAGTCATTAGTGGTTCTACAATGCCTGGGACCAGGAGTGAAAAGACGGGCAACCGGGGGAGAGCTGCCTTACCTGTGTCGAGAAGACGCCATGAAGCCTGGTGTTACATCCAAGAAATGACGGAACAACCGACAAAGCCCTGTTTTGGTCGCTCAAGCACGCATAACAGAGAGCTTCCGGCGGCCAAGCAGAAAGATGTCCCTTCCAGAGTCGTTTCCAGCCAGCCAACCTAACATTGACTCATGAGACACAATGGAAGCTCAAGGCAAGGCTGGTGATGATGGTGAGCAGTCAAGTTCGGGTCTCTGGAGAAGGCGGAGGTCTGGCTTGCCACACGTAGCGCCTCGGATTCCAGTTTCCAAGCACACCGGCCTTCCATCTGATCTTACTTAGACCGGCAGTTACTCGCCCCACACCCCCTTGATAGACCACTCAAGACTCAAGCCATATCCAATATCAACAAAGCAAGTAAAGCTGTTGGTTAAGGGATCTCAGTGCTGGGTTACGTATGCTGATTCCCAGCTCATTCCGTTCAACCGGCAGCTGACATGGGAAACTCGATCCAGTTAAGTTCGACACCACGACGCTCCTCTTGCCAGGCCCTTGAACGACAAGGCTGAACTCTTCTCAGCGTCAAATTGGAGCACTCGACCTAAAGACACACCAGACCCATGTCTCTTATACGAAGACGGCCATCAAGAGCGCAAACACTCGTCACACCTGCCTGGAGGATACAAAGACAGGGGCACCCCAAGAAGGAATAGGAGACGGCGAGCCGATTCCGGTATTGTCGGATGGTCGGGTGCAGCTCAAGGCAGCATGTCGGTCAGAAGGCAGTGTAACCAACCAAAGCCACGCCACGGGAAACTCATTGGTGATAGTCCTCGATTCTGGAGGTACATGTTTTTGTCTCTGCGTAAACTGACAAGACACGGAACGATCCAATACAACCCGTTCAGCAGATGATGGTTGCGGTGTCGGACTAGGCAGTATATTCCCATGCTCCTCATAAGCATTGGGACAACACCACCTCAAGCCTTCAGCCGTCCGGACTTGTAGCACTCTCGCTAAGGCACGCTCTCCCCGGTCTTTGGTCCCCAACCTTGAAAGGGGAACACTCCAGTCAGGCGGCTCCATGGCGTAGAACTGCCATATCCTGGGCTCGACATCCTCCACATCGAGCTGTCCAAACAGGTCTCACGGCTGGAAGACGCCAAGTCGATGACTCCATGCCTTGCTTGACTGACTACCCCCGGGCCAGCGTCATACAGTCACAAGACACAAATCTAAGCAATGTGAGCTTGTTTTACATGACCCTCTGGCTTTAGCGATGCATTGGACGCGTCTATGGTACTCTACAGACCAACGCTTTTCCTTCCACCGTCAAACCCACACCCTTCCACACTAGTGCCTCTCCCGCCTCCGGGGGGCCGCTCTTATTATGTCGTCCACACGTAAGAGAAGCTACAATCATAGGACAGTTAGCACATTTGCTCTCAAAGAGGTGAAAAGACAAAAAACCAAACTCACCTCAGCAGCCTCACTCGCTGAATTCACCACCGCCCTCTTAAGCTTATAGCTCTCAATAACGCCCAGCTCGCGCATATCCGCGATCCCGCCGCCGGGCGTCGTCAAGTCCAGGCCATACGTCGTCAAGCCGTCATAGATGGCCTTGCGCAGACGCGCGACAAGGTCGCTCGAGTCCAGACCAGCGTTATCCGCGAGGATCGTCGGCAGCTGGCGCAGGGCAACAGCAAACGCGGCCACGGCCGTCTGCTTCTTGCCCTCGACGCGCGTGGCGGCGCCCTCGACGGCCTTGGCCATGAGCATCTCGGCGCAACCGCCGCCGAGCGTGGTGCGCGGCTCCTTGACCGTTTGCGACAGCACCGCCAGCGCGTCGTGCAGGCTACGCTCGGCCTCGTCGAGCAGCTGGTCTGTCGCGCCGCGCAGCACAATGGTGCAGGCCTCGCCCGCGGCCACGCCCGAGAACTTGATGAGCGTGTCCTCGCCGATGAGTACCTCCTCGATCAAATCGCACTGCCCGAGCTTGACCTGCTCCGGGTGGTCAAAGGTCGAGGCAATCTCGCCGCCCGTGACGAGAGCCAGGCGCTCGATGCCGTCGAAATCGGCGTGCTCGATCGACATGATGCCCGCGTCGGTGAAGAGCTGCTCCGGCCAGTTGTAGATGAGCTGCCGGTTGATGAAGCAGTTGATGCCGTGCGCCTTGATCTTCTCCACCTTGGCGCGCATCTTCTCGCGCTCGGCCTTCTCGAGCTCGGCAAGCTTGCTGGTCGAGCTGACCTTGAGCCGGGCGCCAAAAATCTTTACCTTGTCCGTGTCCATGGACGTGTTGGCCACGAGGATCTTGGCCTTCTCGAGGCGCTTCGGCTGGTTGACGCCAATCTTCTTGTCCAGGATGAAGCCCTCGTCGAGGTACGAGTCGCTCAGCTTGCCGCCGGCCTTCTTGATAATCTGGATGTGGCTGAGGTCGGACGAGCCCTTCAACCGCAGGACAGCCTCGACTGCCAGCTTGGAGAAGTGTTCCCTGTCTTGGGCGAGCACCTTGGAGCTGAGCGTGGTCCGGGCGATGGCTTGGAGGTCCTTCTTGAACGCTTCCGGGTTCTTGCTGTGATCCACCGCCGACGCCTCTAGAGCCTTGAGCGCCGCCTGGCTGGCTATCCGGTAGCCCTCAATGATCGTCTGGGGGTGGATCTTCTTGGCGACGAGCTGCTCGGCTTCGCGCAGGAGCTCGGCGGCCAGGACTGCCACCGAGGTGGTGCCGTCGCCAACCTCGTCGTCTTGTACCTTGGAGATGTTCACGAGAACCTTTGCTGCCGCGTTATCGAGGGCAATGGACTTGAGGATCGTCGCGCCGTCGTTTGTCACCATAATCTCGCCCGTCGACCTGCGTGCCGTGTCAGCGCGGACGACCCTTACTTCACCTTCAAGCGAGACGCAAGCCTGTCACATACGCAGACTGCAGGATTTTGTCCATGCCCTTTGGGCCGAGAGTGCTCTTGACGAGGTCGCCGACGGCAATTGCGCCGACAAAGGCGGCGAGGCGGGCATTCTCGCCCTTCTCCTCCGTCGTGCCCTCTTCGAAGATCTGCGTGGGGCTGAAGGAAGCCTGCCGAAACTGTTAGCACGTCCCAAGTGTAATGAAAAAGGGCTGAAACGGCAGGCATACCATGACGAAGGTTTGGGTATCTGAGAAAGACAATAAGATGTCGGTGTATGAGAAGGTCCGCTCAAGGACGGGTCGTGATGGTGGGGAGGAGGGGCAGCTCAGACCAGGCAGGCGTTGCAGTGCAGCAGTCAACAGCCGAAGCTGCGACTTTTTCCCCATGCAGACGGCAAAATTAAGCTGGTTCCTCACCGCCTGAATCACTTGCTCGGAAACGGCAAGGTTTGAGAATAGCAAGGGCGAAGTGCTATGGTTGACATGCACACATGAAGCCGGAAGACTGGACAAAGAAATCAGCAAACCATCCCTCTCTTCTAGACGATGGAAAAAAGCTGAGGCTGTCTGAATTCAGTTCTCCTGCTCCAATTTCTGGCAGGATTGCACTGATGGACTTCCAATGCCAATCAAGGTCACTTTTGTTATTACCCATTACCATTGTGTGACGTTAAAATCAAACCCCTTGGCGCCGTGGGCCAGTTTTTCGACTCCCGAAAAGTACTGAACCCCACCACGTTCTTCGCAACGCACAAAATCTCGTCAATTATCCCGACGACCAAGATCCCTAGCCCCGCGGCAGCGCATCGATAAACACCACATCAGGGACGCATTCAGTGTCGCAGCAACCTTAAGATAGCGTATTTATTGACTGCCCAGCATGGCGCCGTCCTTCGACAAGTTGCGCGAGGAGGACCTCGACGAAGAGGATATCGACATGGACGAGGTTGACATCTCCGATCTCCGCGAAAAATATGAGGTCCAGCTCGAGCAGGGCTACGACACCTTCGTTGTCATCGACGGCCTGCCCGTCGTCAACCAGGAGCAAAAGCCGCGACTCATCAAATTCCTGCTGAAGAGGCTCAACACGGTCGGCCGGACCAGCGAGGACGCCATCTACATGCCCATGGGCGACGACGGCATGTCGCTGAGGTATGCCATTATATGCGTTGCAGGGCCGAGAAACCATGGAGCTGCGAGCTGGGGCTGACCTCTGCAGGTTCGCCTTTGTTGAATTTTCCTCGGCCGCCGAGGCCGCTGCTGCTGTCCGCCAGCTCGACGATGCCCCGCTCGACAAGAAGCACACGCTGCGCGTCAACAAGCTCACCGATATCGACCGCTATGGCCGCGAAGGCCGCATCGACGAGGAGTACACGCCGCCCCAGATTGAGCCATTCCAAGAAAAGGAGCACCTCCGGTGGTTCATGGCGGATCCCAGCGGGCGCGGCAGGGACCAGTTCGTCATGTTCCGGGGGGACACGGTGGGCGTGTTCTGGAACAACGAGAAGGACCAGCCAGAGAACATTGTCGACCGGCAACAATGGACAGAGACCTTCGTACAATGGTCTCCGCTGGGAACCTATCTCACATCCGTGCATGCGCAGGGCGTGCTGCTCTGGGGCGGCGCTTCGTGGTCGCGGTTGAGGCGGTTCGCTCACCCCTTCGTCAACCTTGTCGCTTTCTCGCCAAACGAAAAGTATATGGTCACATGGTCCAACAGGCCCATCTCCATTCCCGACAGCGGTCACCCCGCTCTTTCAGTCGACGACGACGGCAAGAACTATGTTATTTGGGACATCGAGACGTCCAAGCCCCTCCGGTCGTTCGCCCAGCAAGACACACCAGCGGGCGAGGAACAAGGCGCCAAGAAGCCGGCCAAGTTTCCCTGGCCTGCGTTCAAGTGGTCTGCCGACGACAAGTACGTGGCCAGGCTCAACCAGGGCACCTCCATCTCCGTGTATGAGCTCCCGAGGATGAATCTCCTGGACAAGACGGCTATCAAGATCGAGGGGGTGATGGACTTTGAGTGGGCGCCCGCCACCCCCCGCCGGGAGGGTGTCAAGGAATATGAGCAGCTCTTGTGCTTCTGGACGCCTGAAATTGGCAGTAACCCCGCTAGGGTCGCTCTGATGAGCATCCCTTCCAAGCAGATTGTCCGCTCCCTCAACCTCTTCAACGTCTCAGATGCCAAGCTCCATTGGCAATCCGACGCCTCGTACATCTGCGTCAAGGTCGACCGACACTCCAAGTCCAAAAAGTCGCTTGCGACCACGCTCGAGATCTTCCGCGTTAGGGAGAAGGGCGTTCCCGTCGAAGTTGTTGACACCATTAAGGACACGGTCATTAACTTCGCCTGGGAACCCAAGGGTGATCGGTTCGTCATCATCACCACGACCGAGCCCGTCGGCGCCACCGCTGTGCCGCCCAAGACGGCCGTTTCGTTCTTCTGCCCAGAAAAGGCAAAGGGCAACGCAGTCGGCAACTTCAAGCACCTACGGACGCTCGAAAAGAAGAACAGCAACGCCATCTACTGGTCGCCCAAGGGCCGCTTCGTCGTCATCGCCACCGTTGCCAACACGCAGAGCTCCGACCTCGACTTCTTCGACGTCGACTTCGAGGGCGACAAGCCCGAGGCCGAGAAGGACCTGACTGCCAACCTGCAGCTCATGAACACGTCCGAGCACTATGGCATTACCGATGTCGAGTGGGATCCCTCGGGCCGCTACGTCGCCACTTGGGCGTCGGCGTGGAAGCACTCCGTACGTTACCCTTCTCCCGTTACCTCCCCTCCCTTCTTTTTGAGAATTCTCACTGACGTTGATTTACCTGCAGATGGAAAACGGCTACCACCTCTACGACTTCAAGGGCGAGCTGCTGCGCGAGGAGGCCCTCGAGAAGTTCAAGCAGTTCGCCTGGCGTCCCCGCCCGCCGACACTGCTGTCTAAGGAGGAGCAGAAGCAGATTCGCAAGAACCTGCGCGAGTACTCGCGCGTATTCGACGTCGAGGATCAAGAGCGCATCAGCAGTGCCGACGTGGCCGTCGTCGAGGCCCGCCGCCGCCTGCTCAACGAATGGTATGCCTGGCGGGAGGAGGTCGAGCGCGACCTGACTGAAGAGCGTGCTGCGCTTGGCTTGCCCGAGAACCCTGTTGAGGAGTTGCTGAAGGAGAAGACGGCTGCTGCGGTGGCGCATGTGGCTAAGGCGGATGGTGGTGAGAAACAAGAGGAGCAGGTTGTTGAGGAGCTTACGGAGGAGGTGCTTGAGGAGACGGAGGAGGTAGTTAACTAGACCTCAGACCTCGTCCATTCCATACGGCTCCACCTTAGGAAGGAGAAAAGAGATAGGATTGAGGCTGAGGCTGGGTGGGTGGGGTTGGTCAAGAAGGCTGGAGCAACGTGAATTCTGACTGTGTTTGTTTGTCGATGAAATTTTCCTCTTAGGTTCATCTGTTCTGTCGTGTCTCTGTGCAAGAATGGATGGATGGATGTACAGGATCCGGCCACTCAACACACTACCCTTCGCTGAGTGTACTTGTACCCTTGTTTCGGGCTCGAGAAGCGTGGCAATATACGCTGAAGCAGCAGATCGGTGATCTTGCATGGAATGCAGGATCCTGGGAGTAGCACCTGTCTTGTTATACTTGCTTACCAGTAGCACTTCACATTGGCATGGCTGGGTGTCAGCGCTCCTGCTTCCTGGCGCTTGCGGCTTGGAGCCGTTGGTGGCTGGCATCTAGCCGCGCTGCTACCCGTTGTCCCGTTCCCACACGTGGGGGGCCAAGCAAACGGGGTATTGTACGATCTCGATGATGGTGAAAGGGGAACGGATCAGGGGTTGAATCCGGGCGTTTGCACACCTTGCCTGCCACGCTCATAGAAGCATGGGAGCATGCTTCGTCTGGAGGCATCTATCTGACTTGTCGGGCAATCTGCGTTGCGGATCTACCATGATCCAGACCTGCAAGAGCGATCCAGTGAGGCTTCTGCTGACCTTGCGAACGGGAGATGGTTTACTTGTTTGGCTCGTTTAAGTCTCATGGTAGTAAACTGGTTACCTGAAGCCATGTGGTGCGGCAGGCCCGGTTTTGCGCATGGCACCGATCCGGGGCAACTCCGAGTTACTCGGCCAGTTTGCTGACATCGTCTCGACGATCTTGTGTGCAGACAAATTCTTCCACCGAGCAGCATATGGGTCGAGACAAACGGAGATGCCTTCGAAGTCATGGTCCTGTGGAATCTCCGGCAGCTCATGTCGGAACATGACGAAAAGCTGTGGAAGCCCTGATTCCAAGACCCGAGCGAGGGAAGCTCACGTTGTTCCTCATTCCCTAGAGCCCGCAAACGCCGTCCTGGCCTCATACCCCAATAGGGTTTCCGTCGGCATTCCACGTCCAAACACCATCGCGTTCCACACCACCGGTACCCGTTTTGATTTGATGTACGATGGAAATTTTCGAGGGCTGGGCCGTTGATTAGGGCTCACAAAGGCGCACATTCCAATTTTCTTGTTCCATGCGAAGTATCCCGTTTCGGCTCCTCACCGGAATCTCCGGATCACGAACCCAATTCTCCAGGTTCCCGCGCTCAAGTGCTCCCAACAGTTGCCGCCCCCAGTCTGATTTCAAGTAAGCCGACATGCATCAGGCCCTGGAACAGGCACGGAGCTCAAGAAAGTGGGGAAGCAACCGTGGAAATAGTCTGGCGGGCAGCGGGACAAGAAGGAACAGAAGCCAGAGCGGCAGCACCGCGAACAGCAACGGCTGGACGGGCGGAGGCCGCCAGAGGATGGCAAGTCGCCGAAGCAACACCAAGACCGGCAACAAAATCAAGCTTCGAGGCACTCTATAGTGGTGAAGTAAGAGGCTGACACGGAGCGAGCCTTGATTGCGACCGCGAGAACCTCGCAGCCGGTGCCAGCCGAGTCGAGCACGTCGACCGAAGCTTCCACCGCGGAGGCTCGTCACCAGGCAGAGCATCGCCCTCGCCCGACCGTGACCCATGTTGAAGAACCTGGCCGGCATGGGCAACCCGCTGAACAGGCCCCTCACGTAGCTCTGCAGCCCGCAGCGAGAGACCTGCAGGAGGAGACAGGGATATTCAAGAGCGTGCTCCACGAGGCACAACACAGGCTCATCCAGCAAGTCGCAGGTATCCTATTCGAGCACAAGAAAGAGTTGGGGGAAACGTTTGACAAAAACAACGAAATGGTAAGTCTGGCAGATGGCAATGTAAGGCAAGGCATTGACAGTGAGTTCCTCTCAGCTTGAGAGACATCAGGCCTGGATAATGGATTATCGATGGGTCCGCGAGAGCATAGAAAAAGACCAACCACAGGGAAGCCATGAGGGCATCCACTGGCAGCACGTCCGCACCCCCTAGCCTCAGCGTCGCCGCTACCGCAATCCCGCGGTCGAGACTTCCTGCTCCTCGTCCAGCAGCCTGGACGACGAAGACGACGGCGTAAAGGCCGACACCGAGGAGTTGGCGGAGCCGGTATGGAGGACAGCGAGGGGCCGGCGAGAAGATGATGGCGATGACGACAATGATAACGACGAAGACGAAAGCGACGAAGAAGACGTGCTGCCCAGCATGGAGTTGGAAGCATGAACCTGATTTTTTGACGGTTCCGGCGTCGTTCCGTGGGAAGAAGCGAAAGGCCCGGGTGCAGAAGACGAAGCCCGGCTCTTCGAAAAAACCGGCTCGTACGGCGAAGGAAATGCCTGCGAAGAAAACGGAGGCCAGCTCTTCGAAGAAACCCTGAAGGAGACACCAGTAATCAACCCCTATCTGCCGCTGATCGCTGCTGAGTGGAAAGCGAGCCGCAGTGCATGAGTGGGCTATAGTCTTCAATGGACACTATTGGGACGGAGAAAGAATACCACTGTGATGTGTAGCCAATTGTAAAAAGGTAGCTTACAGCTGCTCTTGATAAGATGATGATGGTGTTTTGCGATGTTTTGGACGTGGACGAGGCTGCCAAGAACGGGGCGAGCGGAGCTGGCTTGGTTAGTGCCGGGAAGGGCCTCGGCCCGGAGTCAAGAACAGGGGGTGTGCCTGAGATCCCCGTTTCAACTTTTGCATTTTGCCAAGTCGCTTTCTGTTTTGCAATTCTCAACAAAAACTTTGAGATTCCCAACAATCGCTTTTGGCCTTCAGGGATGCAGGGTCCACGCCAGCGCTCAACCCTGTTCAAACGGCAACATGCGAAAACGGCAACGGCCCAGAGTTACGGATCCGTATCATTTTCATCAATTCAGCTCCGCCCCAATTCTAGATTCCAGAAGCGATGGAAAAGAGCATCCTGGCGGTCGAGATCTTCCGCAAAGGGTCAGAGCCTCGGCTGCCTCATCAGTCGCCTCCCAGAGCCCATCATGGCTTTCCGGGTGCTCTTGCGACCCGTTGGGGTTGTGAGATTGAGGATTGGACGTGACGAATATGCATGTCGAAGATCTCCAATGGCCAGCCAGCCTCAAACCAGCTAGGCCGAGCTATAATCACCAATCGGATAGGACTCGGCAAGACATTCTGCGTCTGAGTCTGTGAGAGTCTGTCCTGGTTCAGCTTGGGCTCGCATTCACATGCCAGTCGGCTGTGGGCATTGAGACATGGGCTCGCTACACAGGCGGTGTGGTTGTTCGTCTTCCTGAGCTGGGACCTCTTGACTCTCAACCTTCCAGACTGTGGATCTTAATGTTTCGCTCACGGGGCCGGTTTCCGGTCATGTCAGGTTCCTCTTTCTGTCGCAGGAGAAACGCATTGCAGTTTGTGGGGCTCTCTGGTGGCCAAACCGAAATTGACAACTAACGTACACTGTACCGGGCGGCAGAGCTGGGGCGAGAAGGGGCATTTCTGAGGAGGCCCATTCTCGCATACGCTTTAAAACCGCGATTCTGTTTGGATTCGTTCCTTGTGAGCTTTTCCCTCCTGCACAGTCCGTGGTGTTGGTCGATTTTTCTATCGGCTTTCTGCAAGGTCGAAGGTGGTGTTACGAGCCGCCGCCCGCGCCCCAACAAATCACAGAAAATTTCCGACCCCTGGGCGGACGGAAAGAGCTTCTTGGTTTCTTTTCTTGTGTAGGAAGTCCCCTACTTCTCGCAAATTTCCATTCCCGTGGTCGAAATCGAGGTTTTCTTGGACGGTATGTCGCACCTCAAGCCCCCTTTGAGCGTTCCCCCGTTCTAATCCCGGCCACAGACACCTCCCGGTCGTCTCTTTTGAACGCGGTGCAGCTCATCTTGGCCAATTGATCCTTCAAGGTCAAGCAAAATGGCTTCCACGACCAGTCTCCCGGCTTCCAGCAAGCCGTTCCTGAGGAGGAACATCACGTCGGCCACCGACTCGGACTCGAGTGCCATGGTGTCTCCCATCGACTCTCCCCGGCCCTCACCATCCTCCACCTCGCTGTCCTCGTTGGCTTCCGATGACGCCGCTCCGGCCCCGAAGCAGTACAACAAGCTGCTCGACACGTACGGGAATGAGTTCAAAGTACCGGACTTTACCATCAAGGACATCCGCGATGCCATCCCCAAGCACTGCTTCGAGCGCTCCTACGTCCGCAGTTTGGGCTATGTCGCCCGCGACATGGTTTACCTCGCCACGACCTTCTTCCTCTGGAACAATTTCGTAACGCCCGAGTACATTCCGTCCCTGCCGCTTCGCGTCGTGCTTTGGGGCGTCTATACCTTCCTGCAAGGTCTCTTCGGCACCGGCCTCTGGGTCCTTGCCCATGAGTGCGGCCACGGCGCCTTCTCTCCCTCGCAGAAGCTCAACAACTTCGTCGGCTGGATTCTGCACTCGGCTCTCCTGGTGCCCTACTTCAGCTGGCAAATCAGCCACAGCAAGCACCACAAGGCCACGGGAAACATGGAGCGTGACATGGTGTTTGTTCCTAGGACTCGCGAGCAGCAGGCCACCCGCATTGGCCGTTTCGTCCACGAGCTTTCGGAGCTGACCGAGGAAACACCCATCTACACCTTCATTCACCTGCTTGGGCAGCAGCTGATCGGCTGGTGGAACTACCTCCTGACCAACGTGACGGGGCACAACAACCACGAGAAGCAGAGGGAGGGCCGCGGCAAGGGAAGGCGGAATGGCTGGGGCGGCGGTGTTAACCACTTCGACCCTCGCAGCCCGATCTTTGACAACAGGGATGCCCCGTACATCCTGCTGAGCGACCTGGGTCTGGCCATCACCATCTCGGCGCTGATCTACCTCGGCAAGACGTTTGGCTGGTCCAACATGTTTGTGTGGTACTTCCTGCCCTATCTCTGGGTGAACCACTGGCTCGGTAAGTTGCCGTCTCCCGCAAAAACCTGCTACGAAAATGAATTCTGACAAAGGGCATTCCCAGTTGCCATCACGTACCTGCAGCACACCGACCCCTCCCTGCCCCACTATACCGAGGAGGAGTGGAACTTTGTCCGCGGCGCGGCCGCCACCATCGACCGCGAGTTTGGTTTCATCGGCCGCCACCTGCTGCACGGCATCATCGAGACGCACGTGCTGCACCACTACGTCAGCACGATCCCTTTCTACAACGCCGACGAGGCCACGGAGGCCATCAAGCCGGTCATGGGCCAGCATTACCGCGCCGACACCCGCGAGGGTCCCATCGGCTTCATCAAGGCCATCTGGAAGAGCGCTCGGTGGTGCCAATGGGTCGAGCCGACCGAAGGCGCCGAGGGTCCAGCCAAGGGCGTGCTGTTCTTCCGCAACCAGAACGGGCTCGGTACCAGGCCGGCCAAGATGGAGCCTGTTGCGTAAAGCTTAAAGAGGCTATGGCTGGTTTATGATTTTTCTGTCTTGACCGTTTGGGTCGCCCACGGCTTCGATGTCCGCACACCAGCGCATCCTGCCCTGGCCTGGCCGGCCTGCCGATGCTGGACCGTCGCCGGGGGTGTGTAATGACGCAAAAAAAAAGTTCTGTCGTTGACTTGCATGGTTCGGAGCTTGAAGAGCAATATACTGCTCTGTCAGGGAGACAGCAGATAGGCGTCGCAGGGATAGACGATAGACCTATGCACTTAATGAGACCATGCTTTCCAAACCACGTTGGAGGCTCTCTCCGGTCTGGAGGCTTGAGGAGACGCCTGCTGCCGGAGCTCTTACCTTTATGTACCCCATTGAATCATGTCGTACTGCCTGCGGGGAAGACAAATGCCTGTGTCATGGAAGCTGGAGGATGAGGGGAAACCGAACCCCGACCCTCCATTTCTCTTCTCTATTATTAAGGTTCGGACTAGCGCATGATTCATGAGTTCCAGTCCATCCGAGAGCAAGTCCCGACTGACGAACCATCCCACTTCCTCTTCACGCTGATTTGCCGTACAGGTACAAGGGCTGACTTTGACATAAACCTTCTTCACCTTTCTGCTGCAGTCTCAATGCACGTTAGGGTTCTGGCTTGAGAAACCGTCAGACTACCATGTCAGGCTAACTTTGCCAGAGAGGTCACGGTGGGTACCAGGGCTGACTTTGACATGAGCCTGGGAGTCCTTCATGTTCTGTGAAGCTGTCCAGCAGCACACAGTCACTTTTATAGCCTTTAACGATCCTCAACAATGACACGAAGAGAGGCAGTCTAAATTGCCAGATTGAGATTGAGATTGAGATTGCCGAAATACAGGCATTCAGTTCTTTCTGAAATGCAATCCCAGCGAGGAAGACAGATGTTCTCTCGAATATCTTTCGCCTTGGAACCGGTAAGCCCAAGTGGCAATCGCAAGAAACGTTTGGCTCCAGCCCAGATATCAGCCCAGCTGATGATCGCGTCCTTAGTCCTGCCACGAGCGAGGGAAGCCGGGCCGCCTACGCACTTGAGCGTTCTCATATGGTTAGCGATGCCCTCTTCTGGCTGGGAAGACGGGAGGAGTTGTGGGCTAGCTAACCAACAGCATGAACCCCAGAAGATGTATGAAGTAACAGCGGTTAAATCGCGACGGATTTCAAGGTCTGGTGAGAGTCGGGTACAGAGAACTTAAGTTACCCTGGTTGAGAGTCGACTCGACGAAGCCTCGGCCGCCCACCAGCGGCTCACACGAGCAGATAAGCAACTGCTTTGGCTTCGCCCATGGGCTGTGAAATGGTGCAGTGTGTGCAGCAATCGGAAAACTTTCCACTGGTTTTGCGGGAGTTTAGCTTTGTCAGCTTTGAGTTGATGATTGAGATTCTTCCTACCGCCAATATGGGACACCAGAAGAGGGGATGAAAACTGGAGGAGACTAACTACCCCATCCACTGCATGTGGCCGGTGATCTGGTTCATGACGATACATATGGTCAAGTCGAGCTCATTATCTGACTGGGGCTTGACGCCAGCACTGCTCGGGTGGCAGCTGGTAGCGCCCAGGAAGATGTCGTGAAAGAGGTCGACGCTGGTGCAAACTGATCGAGAAGTCGCTAAGGGGGAGGCCACGACAGTTATTAGCAGGGTTGACGCAGAGGCAAGGTGGACGAGCAACAGAAAGCTGTAGGCTGGTAGGGGAAGCGAGTGTGCCGGATCGTGATGGGAACGGGCGAAGTTTGAAGTTTGTTGCGAACCGGACGGACCGAGGGAAGGGCGAGGAAAATTACAGTGGTTGGGGTTTCAATCCATGTTGCTGGTCAAGACATCCAGCGATATACTGTAATACAGTATAAGGGATTCTTTTGAATCTAAGTGTTCCTTCCCAGCGAGGTCTGGTTATCTGCCAATAAAGGGCGGCACGGCCTTGACTTCCTACTGCCCGCCAAATGTAAGTTAAAATTTTCAGTGAGTTGAGACAATAGGTCCTGGACAGGATTGTCAGCCGTGCCTTGTTCCAGACTATCACAAGGTGAAACCCTGGCTCACTTGCGATCACAGAAACTATCTAGTGTCAATGAACATCATGCCTTTCGGTTTCCAGTAACTTCCGGTCCTAAACCAATTCACCAAGTCTGACACGGTAAACACCTTGGCTTCGTCTAAGATTTTAAGCAAGATCCCCCAAGGAACTGAGCACCGGCACCTGCTTTCCACTATGACCCTACAATACTCGATGTCCCCAGCCAAGATAACTATTATCTATAAGTTTTGATAAGAGTTGTCAAGTGCCTTATCTGCATTCTCTTGAGAAGCATTGAACTGGTGACTATAAGTTCCATTGCGTTCCTTACACACTCCGTGACCGAAGACGGACGTTTGAAACGATGCCCGAGGTTAGCATGGGTGGGATTCAACGTAATGACCGGCATTACATAGGAGGAGTTGGTAAATGATCAATGATTCAAGGTCCTGCTGGTACATGTTCAAGCCGGCTTGGAGGTGATGCGCATCAAGTAGGTGAACCTTACCAACAGAATGGCTCGAATTGGTAAGACGTCCTTGACACCTAGGCAAAGTGAAGCTCTACCGTAGCTGACCGATGAATATTCAGACACCCGACCGTGGCATTTCAGCTTCTCCAACCGTCCCCGCCATCATCATCGAGCGCAGTGATGGATTCTTCCACCGAGCGAAGCAACTTCTTCCGCCTGCCTCACCTGGTGCGCGACAACATCCACCAAGAAGCTCTCACGTGCGCCATCCACTCAACCTCTTACAGGATACCGGTCCCCGCAAGGTTGAAGTTTAGCTCAGCTTGCCGGCGGCTGAGGAAGAAAGACCTCACACTCCACGGCGGAAATGCTGGCCCTTGACATGGACTGAATATTTAGTATCCGGAGGAAAACTCGCGAGATCGGAGATAGTAGGTATTGTACCTGTGCACGGCTGGACTTGGCTCTGACCGGAGTGAGCCATGATTCAGTTGATGCCCGGTTGAAGACTAGCATGACGTCTTTTCCTGTCCAATGTCTTTGATCAGGTTTTCGGGAAGAATGCCTACAGGCCTGCGGCTGCTCAGTAGCTTTCATTCGTGATCGCTACAGGCATCGACGCCATGGAGAACCATACTTAGGCATGGCTGAATGTATGAGGTTCTGAGTTCAACTTTGCCGTAGCTTGTTCCGCGAACAACTCGAAAAACAATGGCATGTCTTTGGCTCAAACTACCAGATAGGGAAGGAGGCACAGAAGTTCAAACACAGCTTCCCCGCTGCACTCTGCAGTTGAAATTGCTGGTGGCCCTCGTCATTTCCCACCCCTGCCAAGATCTGTGGCTTGAGCTTGAAATCGGGCCTGTTGTTGAACGTTTTATTTTTTCCCGCTCGTTCTTCAAGAACATACACGTGTACCTGGCTTGAAGTCAACTTTGGCTGGAATTGATACCGGAATCTAAAATCTACAACTATAACGGATGTAAACACACACGTGGCGGTGTTTTTTTGATTCAGTTCTTCGATTTGAAACACCGCATCAGTAGAAGTTATCAGATGCCGGACGCCACTTCCGGGGCGGCGTTGTGCTGGCCATGCAGGGTGACGTGAATCACACCCTCCCATCTTGGCACTCAGGCCCGTCACGCTTGCGGCCGGATATCTGGCTCTCCTCTGCGATGTTGTCAACCTGAAAGAGCTCCTTCACGGCTGGGTGCTGGCAGTTGGCCCGTTGCCAGATCGCTGTACCAACATCATTACGGCGCAGGCTTCGATTCTGGCCTGTCAAGCTCTCAGTACCTCGCCCAGAGTGCTCCTCAGACTTGATGTTCATAGTTGCACTCCCAGGACCGTGCTGATGGCTGCTTACACAATGAGATATCGAAGTTGTTGACTGGCTCTTCTCTGGTGCGTGAGAGGAAAAGAGCTGCTCGTTTGTGCCGCTTCCAGTCTCCCGCAGCAAGCAAGGTTGTTCTGTCGATCATCACGCAGGTTGATGAGTTGATGAAGAGCCCCACTGAAATCCTCTCCCTGGCTTCGGCAGGATTCGCCTCGAAACATCAGCCGACCGGACAAACTGCCCGGAAGGCAATGCAAGTGGGAAAGCATGAAGTCTGGTACTAGCGACCGTTGCCTTCTTATCTCGGCAGTGAGATATCACCATCCAGCCAACCTGGAAATTCGATTTTGTGCCTTGGTTTTAGCAGGCTATTTCTTGAGTTTGGTGCTGGTGCCAGCCTTCAACAGGCCTAGACTGGCAAAACTGGCGATCCCCTGGGACCGGACTCCACTCAAACTTTGAATTCCCGTCCCGCCTCTCCTGCAGAGTCTGGCCCCACTGCCTTGGTTCTCTGTCATTTGCTGGAATTCTCGACTTGGGTTTTCCTTGTCGATTTTCGCAATCTTGGTCGCCATTACGCAGTCTCTCTGTTCTCCTTTCTCCTTGCACATTACAACACCACTCGGTCGGCCAGTCACTCGTTCGATATCTACTCACCATAACTTCTAGGTTGGAAAGACGCCTAATTCCCTGCACATTCGCTACTCATTCGCCGCATCACACTCGACTTTCGCTCGTAATACCCAACATAATACGAACATATCAACAAGCCCATTCAATAAACAATCGTTCTCTCAACTGCACATACAACTATTAATACCTCGGGTTGCTCTTGTCGGCCGGACCCTCGCAACGCCGTGTTTTGGATCCACGCGACCGGATTCTTGGGCCCAGACCAGCGGCATTGTGAGACCCGTGCTTTGGAATCCAGGGGCTAGCCGTTGGCATTCCGTCCGATCGCCTCGACCCAAAGATCGTCACCGAGCACTGCAATCCTGGAACACCGGTCGCAGCAGCTCTTCCCCGCATTGATCGAAGCGAGAAACAACACACGACGCGTAGGCAGATCCGAAAACCCACTGAGGGTAGGGCCTTCTACTGCTACGCACGACAATAACCACAACAGGCTTTCTGGGTGCACCATGCCAAGATGATGATTTTCGAAAGCTCGGTTCACGATGCCGTCTTGCCTGGGCCTGGCTCGCCTCCAGCCATGACGGCCTCGAAATCCTCCAAATCTTCTTCGCTCAGTTCGCTTCCCTCTGATGACGGCAGTGTGCTCACCGACGTCAATCACTTCGAGGACATCGGACTAGACGATCAGGTCGACCCTCGAAGCCTGTCAGAGCGACACCTGAAGACCGCCGCAAACCCCTACAGCCCATCTTTTCCCTCCGACCTGCGATCCGTGACGAAGCGACCCGCGCCGGCCTCGACCCCGCAACTGCAGTATTCGCGTGAACCGTCGAGGACCCGCCAGAAGCGCGATGTCACGCCCGCCCTCAAGTCGCGACCGAACCTGCCAGTGCTGCAGACCCAAATTCGGACCACAAACGGGCGCGTTGCCAGCTTGGGGCTCGTCCCCGACCCGCGTCCTCTTCCCTTTCGGACCCTCGGCCGCCAGCCTTCGCAGACGTCATTGAGCCACCGTCGCAGTCCCAGTCCCGGTTTATCGCTTTCTCCAAGAGATCCCAACATGATGGTGAAGCCGCGGAGGAGTAGTTGGCAGTCAAACAGGGAGCGGAAGACGGCACTGGAGCTGGAACTGGAATGCGACGAGGACGATGGAGACGAAATTCCCGACGGCCTGGTTTTGGACAATGTGCCCATTTCCCCAAGGCCACCATCGGAACGCTCCCACAGCCGGCCCCCATCCAAAGCGCCGTCTCCAGAACGTCCGCCAAAGGAGAGGGTACGCAGTATTGGGAACGGTACGCCGCCGGTTGCTGTTGCCCAAGGATCACTTCGGTCGCCATGCTGGAAGTCGGATACGGCACTGAGTTCAGCCTCTTCGAGCCGCGTATCCAGCCCAGTCACCTCGAGGGCCAAGAGTTGGTCTGCTGCACTGGCAGAATTGAACGCCGAGGCTAAGGCGCTCACCGAAAAGCTGGAGGAACATGCCGAGCAGATGGAACACAAGATGCAGCAGAGGTCCAGCACCGGCTCCATGCCGAATGCGAGGAGATCGTCAGACCCGGAAGCTAAACCCAGGGTGAAGTCGGCCATGGCAGAGCTGCCTCCGCTGCGCCGGCCGAATATCATGATCGATCCCTTGCCCATATCCAAGGAGAAGGAAGCTGTCCTCTCGCGCACCCGCCCTTCATGGCTGCCGCCCAAGGACCCCGCTGAGGAGCGCCGCCACCTGAAAGAGTATCAGAAGATGATGGCACAAAGCCTAGAAGCCGACCGTCGGCGCCAGGCTGCCAAACGCGCGCGCTCCGAGTGCCGTGATGTTGCGGCCGACAGCATCATGCAGATTTGGGACCACGACATTCTCCCTCGCTGGAACGATGCCATCCGCGAACGCAGGACCAGGGACCTCTGGTGGCGCGGAATAGCCCCGCGCAGCCGAGGCGCTGTCTGGACACGCGCCATCGGGAACGAGTTGGGCCTTACCAAGACATCGTTCGACGCAGCGCTGACCCGGGCAGGCGAGGCCGAGACCAGGGCAAAGTCTGGACACGGCAGCGCCGAGGACATGCGCGCGGCCGCGTGGTTCCACGCCATCAGCAAGGACGTCCGGGAGCGCACGTGGCCGGAGCTGCGCATCTTCCAGCCGGGCGCGCCGCTCCACCAGAGCCTGGTTGACGTCCTGCGTGCGTATGCCATGTACAGGAGCGACATCGGCTACGTGCCGGGCTGCAATGTAAGTGCCTGCGACTCATCACTCTTTTGCAGAAGACACAGCTAACTTGGACGCAGACCATCGCCGCCCTCCTGCTCCTCAACCTCCCAACCCCAACAGACGCCTTTATCGCCCTCGCCAACGTGCTCAACCGGCCGCTCCCGCTCAGCTTCTACGCCTCGGACGCCGGCGCAAAGAACTCGGCCTACAACCTCGTCCTGCACACACTCGCACAGAAAGCCCCCGCTCTACACGACCACCTTACTAAGCTCGCCGACCACGACCCGGACGCCTACCTCGAGCCTGTCTTTGCAGGGCTTTTCACTCGCCACCTCGCTCTTGACGAGGCTGCTCGGCTCTGGGATGTCTATGTCTTTGAGGGTGACGCACTGCTCGTGCGCGCCGGTGTGGCACTGCTATTGCAAAGGGAGGTGGCGCTGCTAGGGGTTGCGTCGGTGGCTGAGGTCCGGGCTGTCCTGCTCTCGGGCGGCGGGGCCGGGTCAGCAGGCTCCCTGGGGGAAATTAAAAGTCCGAGGGTTGTAGGTGGGCAGGGGGAGGAGGAGCGGTGGATGAAGGCTGTTAGGGAGGCGGGGAAGGCGTGAAGTACCTCGAGTGGCTCTTCGGCCCCTGCCGTCTTGATCCTTGACCGATGATGAGACAGCGGTCCGGTGGTACTGTGCAGGACGACGGTACGTTACGACATTCGACTTGGGGCTGCTATTCGCCGCTGGGACAAACGGACCCGCCTCCCCCCAACGATGACGTACTTGGTACATACAAACACATCCCTATCCACGACAACATACATATATACATAGAGAGGGCTACGGCGGTTGGGCTTCAGCGGCGTCACGAGCGGTGCTCGGCTTGGTCTTGGTTTGGCTGTCTTGGATTGGGTTTTCTTATCTACCAATCTCCATATTGCCGTTTTCCTCAAGTGGTGACGACGGGTTCCTCCCCCGAGACGAGGACCTGGAAGGAGTGGGAAGGCGATGACATTTTCTGGCGCAGGTTCCTATCTATTGTCATTCTTCTCTTCTCTTTTTGGCTATATTCTTCATTCTCCTGCCGACCACTTTTTACGTTTCTACCCCATCCATTTGTTACCTGTGGATTGGGGTTTATATTGCTTAATATTCGAAGGTGCCTCCTGGCGTGGCTGTTGGAGAAGCGGTTTTGGGGTGGTTTTCCTTTTGTCTTTCTCGCCGTGTGGCAGCGGGTCGGATTCCGAGACTTGCTTTCACCACACTTGCTCTCCTCTTCTGAATTGAAGGAGAAGCATGCTGGGGACTTGTAGCTTTGTATGGTTTGGTGTGTTGTATATAAACTGTTGGAATGAAGTGATGGCGATGTATACTCTGTGGGGGGAGTTCCTCTGATTTGCGGATGGGATGGCTTGTAAATGGCTTGCCGCTGATGCTGGTCAATGGGCTTAGATGTAACTTGGAATAACCGTGCCATTGACGTGCGGCATTGTTCCGGTTTCCAAACCACGAATCGTATAGAGGGGGGCTACAATATATTGGAGGCCTCGGACTCTTGCGGTGAAGTTTGCCTCTTGGCGGGTGCTGTCCGCTTGTATCTGGGCCCACAGACAGGACCGACTTATGCTAGTGACATCCAAGTCGAGGACCTCATCCTATTTTCCATGCTTCGCAGACCGCGGCTCCTCAACAGAAACTGGTTGCTGAGTCAAGTACATGCCGATTCCAACGGTGGAACACTTGTCTCCGACTTAATCAAACTCATGTTCGGAATCCGAGGGACAGGTTGGCATGTGTTGCACCACCAAATGGGACAAAGAAACTGAACGGAGGAGAGGAGGCGCTGACTCAATGCATTTATTTTTCCTTTTGGCTGCGGTAAAAGAATAATAGTTTACACGAGACTGCAAAACGCCAAACAAACCCAAAGCCAATGCCTTTGAACGCCCCACGGCCAGGTTGTCAACCGGACTTGACCATCTAAGTCCCCAATCGCTCGCTCTACGAAATGATGCACTCCGAGAGCTTGTTTTTCTCTCCTTCACATACGCCCACCTTGCTAGCTAGCTCTGACTCGAACTGATTTGGATGTGAGCCAGCACAGCCATATTGTGATGGCGGCGCCGACCAGACAAAGAAAACCAAAGCCCGTCGCCACCAAGCCTCAAAAGCTCGCTTAAACCTCCCAAACCAGCTCAACCACCTCATCCACAGGCTCACTCCCCTCCCCCCTCGGCGCGCGGTGCACATACACCTGCCTGAACCGTTCCCCCCTGTCGATATCCCCATCGACCTTCTCCAACCGATAACTCTTCTTCTGATCGCCGCTGAGTTTCGGCCGGAAGGGGGCGTACACGAAATCAAACTTGGCATCCGGGTCATTAAACGTGCCCTCGACGCGGTCCAGATCGAGCTTGTCGACACCATCACGATACACCGAAATGCTGTACCCGTTGGCGAGCAGCGTGTCCCTGCCAAAGCGCCACCTCTGCAAGAAGCAGTCGCCGCACACTTTGGCGACGGCCGCCATCTGCGCCACGGGCGCGTGGTACCACGACTTCCAGTGATGGATGCTCAGCGTCTTGCGGCCGGACTCAAAGAAGCCCGACGGGTCGCCCATGATGTCGTGCTGGTGCAAGCCCTCGACGAGGGTTAGTTTGGTGGTCGAGTGCGCGTAGACGCACTCCTTGAGCATGCCGTCGCCCGAGACGATCTTGGTCTGCCGGATGCAGTCGCGCAGGTGCGGGTGGAGTTGCTTGGCGAGCGGGACCGAGAGAAACGTGCCGGCACCGCCGTACGCCATGAAGCCCCAGATGGTCATGCTCACCCAGTTGTCGGCGAGGGCGCCCAGCCAGCGCGGGCGGGTGTGGTCGTGCTGGCGGAGGGTGAGGTCGAGCGGGTGGAGCGCGGGGAAGAAGGTGTCGTCGTCGAGCACGCCGAGCCATTGGGTTTGGGGGGTCGCGACGTTGAGCATGTCCTCGATGAGGAGGAAGTGCAGCTGTTCGACGGCGGCCGGGCGGGAGAGTTCGGCGTCCTCGGCCGTGTCGAGTCGCGGGAGGGACTGCTTGAGCCGGGGCCGGGTGATGATCGCTGAGATGTTTTGCTGGCGGTACGACGCCTCGAGCGCGGCGATGTCGTACTTGTGGTCCGGGGAGTCGGCGTTTGAGACGACGGCCACGAACAGGGCGCCACTGCCTGATAGCCAGTGGGAAAAGACTGGGAGTGCGTCTTGGAGGCGCTCGTAGGACGATGCGACGCCAAAGAGGAGGTGACCGTATTGGCCCTGTTGCGGCGGGTAGGCCGGGGGCACATGGAGGGTCAGCGGCTCACACGGAGGCAGGGCGATCCGGTTGCAATCGCCGTTTAGGTCGAGCACCGTGGTGCCGGTGATGAGCAGGCTGCTGACGTTGGCGACCTCTTCACGGTCGATCTCAGCGTGGACTGGCCTGATGCAGCGGCGCGAGTACTGGATTTTGTTGCTCAAGCCGAGTTCCTTGCTGCGCAGAAACCTGACGGCTCGATTGCAGGGCCCCTCGATGCTATCGTCATCCTCGGGATTGCTCGCGCTTGCCCCAGGCGTGTCCGACTCGTTTGGTAGCGGCTTGCTAGGACGCTCAAAGTTCGTTTGGGTAGTGTCGGAAGATGTCTTTCCTGCGGGCAAATGCGCGAGGGCATGCGAGTGATGGACAAGACGGTCGGCAGTCAGGAGCAAGATGATCACGACGATCGTAACGAAGGTGGCGAGATATGCTCTCGCAGAGCACTGATGCGCGAGCATTATGACAGCGGCATGTCGAGCAGTCGGCGACGAGTGCGGTGGAGTCGGCTCAGGTAAGCCTGTGGTTGGCGGGAAGGAATAATCGACGAGAAAGCGCAACGGGCGGGTGCTGTCGAGAAAACTGAAGACGACCGTTAGCAAGGTATTGTCCAGGTACGGCCAGGAAAAGTGGTGTGCAGTGGAATCCAAGTTCAGAAATAACTTACCAGTAACTACCTGGTGATGCAGCGATCAAGGAGTGACAATCACAAGCATGCAATTACCCTTCCGCTGCGAGACGTGCAACAACGAAAGATGAGTTTGCTGTTCTTGAAAGTCTGCACCTTTTGTTCACGCCAATCTTATCTGCCGCCGCCAGTTCGGCAGTCGTTCCGTAGGGACACCCAAATGAGTGGCGATGTTGATCTTGGCTTCACTTTCGATCCAATCCAGCCAGTTCCACTTCCCCATTTCGCTCGCCAGGGTTGAGGTTCAGGGGTCCTGCCAGTGGTGTCCCTTGCCGTTGCCAAGCCGGCTACAAATCTTCAGTAGTGGAGCTCTGCTCAAGAGTCGAAAACCGTAACATGACTCGAACAAAAAGTACTGGTATAGCACACACACATATTTATATATATTGATCTTACACCGCAAGGGCAATCGCCCCGCCCAATTCGGGCAAGCGGTCCCTCTGCGCTATTTTTACATGCAAGGCATCCGCTCCCGTACTGCGTCCGCGCAGCTTAGTTGCCGCTCGGGCGCTCCTAGCAGTCCCTCCCATCCAGCAGTCCGGAACTCACCTTTCCGGCTTGGTGACGACGAAGCTGCGGGCGGCCATCCGGCCATGTTCGTCACTTAGCTGCATAACTCGCGCTGCGCGCTTGCCGCTCCAGAATGGCGTTAGAGCCCCGTGCGCTTCTTCGTCTTTTTCTCCTTCTTGGCCCCCTCCGGGCTCCCAGCCCCTTCACCTTCCTCTGGGTCTTCACACACACATATATTTTGTGCAGCAGTGGTACTACGGCATGTTTCACGCTGTGCAATGTTGATAAGTTTTCGTGCATGACGCCCAGGTCTTGTGCCAGCCGCGTTCGACACCTCGCACCAACTCGCTGGTGAGGATTCCAACCTCGTGAAAAATCTACCTAATAACGAGGCAATTGGCGCTCTTCCGAATCATGCCATAGCATGATCATATCATTGAACAGGCTGATATTAAAAACATGAACTTGTTGTACTGTTGTACTTGTGCAGCATGGCGCACCCCTATCAGGTCGATTTTTGGCCCGTGTATTTCCATCTCGGAGAACTGCCATCTCAGAAGTAGTTGGCCAAGTCTATGTGGCCGTCCGTCTCGAGCAAAGGAAACAAGTTAAGCGCGCCAAATGTCTGCTCGACATCGGCATCAAGGGACCCGCCCATCAGCGAGAAGTCGGGCGTGTTCGGGAGGGCACCCGGCAATCCGAAGAAGGCGGACTCGAAGTCCAAGCTGCACGGCAGTTCCTGATCATCGCCATTGCCCAAGCCTGCTTTGTCAGCCCTGGTTGAGGCTTTCTGGGGGCTTCCCGCATGCCAGCTGCCCGACAGCGTCCGGCCACAGTCATTAGTTCCGCGGGACGAGCAAGGAATCAGGCCAAACAGTTGGGACGAGCTCTCGGTTCTCCGCTGCCGCTCTTGCATCTCCCTTCTCTCGAGATATTGCAGAGCTGTGCTCAGGAGGGACTTGGCAATGAGCGAGTACTGGACTGCGTGGGCGTCAGCTTGGGCAAAGTACTCGAGCGCAGAGATGGAAGCGCGGCAGTGCTTCTCGATTATGCGGCCGAAGCCGCCCAGGAGGCCGACACCCAGCACGAGGGACGAAGCGAACAGCCAGGATCTAGGGAACATGGTTAGTAAGTTGCAGTCAGCACTGGGAAAGGTGCACAGACACGATCACTGGAGCTCGCCGGGTCATCAGCCCTCGCTCGATGAGGCTCTGGACCGGCTCCACCATCAGAATGGCCGCATCGATACAGGCGTCGGCCAGCTTTGACTTGCCGGTGAGGCCGATGCCCGCAATGGAACCCCCGTCTAACAGCCTGCGGTGTAGCTCGACCATGAGGAAAGGCCGAGATACAAGGATGACGGCATAATAGTAGGACGAGAGGATCTGGCATGCACCGTTTACCATCCCCGGCTGGTCGTCAGGGGACGTTCCATCGATGACGTCCATGAGACGGTGCAGCCAGCGCGTGGACCACTCCCGGAGCTCGCGCGAGATGCCCTCGGTCAAGCGTGGAGATATCTTGCGGCGCGAGTAAATCTCGAGGACGATGGCCTCAGTGACGAGGAAGATCTGGGCCGATGCATTCAGGAGGTCAAACTTCTCGTGGCCAGCCTCGTCCTGCGCCCTGTACGGAACGGTGCAGTCCACGTCCGATGTCGCCGGCGGGCGGCCCATGGACGTGCTGAGGAATAAGTCCAAGACCCTCAGGCTCTTCCAGAGCCTGTCCCTCTGGCGATGGACGCTGGGGCCGAACCTGGCGTTGACGGCCGTCCGGTGGATCCCGATGGAATAGGCGGCTCGAGCGGCAATGCCAAAGAAGAGGAACGCCCCATTGATCTGGCATGCACCGAGCGAGAAGAACGTGATGAGTATGAATATTTGCACGCTTGCGACCCCGAGGTTGCCGCTGAGGCTGGCAAAGGCCAGGTTGCGGGCATAGTCGAAGTAGAGCTGGGCAATATGCTCATCCGTTTTCTGGCAGCCGATGGCGAGGACCATGTAGTTCACGGCCGAGGGCACGTCGACAGCTTGGTTTCGTGGGCGGCCGTGCTCAGACCAATTGGCGATGTCGTCCACGAGACGGGCGTTGTCAAACAGGTCAATCAGCCCTGCAGTCACATCTAGGTAGGCAGACACGGTCGGCCCGATGGGGACATTGACGGCCGGAGGTTCGGCGCCAAAACCGGCGGATGCGCCAAATCGCGAGTAGACATTCTCGAGGGCTGTGTAACCACTGCTTTCCGGGGCAAAGGCATCGGCATCGACGCGCGTCGTGACGAGGCGACGCACAGTTTGGAAAAAGGACAGGGGTGCACAATCTCCAATGAAGACGAGCTTGCCTTGGGCGTCGCACAGAAGCCGGGCCTCGCGGGGCACCTCAGTCTCCTCGTGTTCCTCGAGGGTTGCAAAAACAGTGTCTGCGGGCAGCTGGTGTTGCGGGCTGGACTGCTGCAGTGTGGGTCCCGCGGGGGCAACCGAGACACTCGGAGAGGCCGCCGTGACGGCTGGGGCGGGGTGAGATGGCGTTGGCGTTGGCGTTGGATTATGGGACGACGAGTGCGTCTCATGACGGCTGTTCGTTGACGGAGCAGGTTGGTCCGACACAGACGGAGTGGCGTGGTCTTGGGCAGCCGGGTCGTCGGACCGGGGCCTCGGTCGGCGCCGGGGTGCGGTGTAACGGCAGCTGCCCGGTTGCCGTCGGCGTACGCAGTATCCGCAGGGCTGGACACCGCTACATTTGATCTTTCGCAGCTTGCACAAATCGCACGCGTTGGCCACGCGGGTGCGCATTGATCTGGTTTCCATTGTAAAATAAGGAAACAAAAAGGCTTGTTGCGGCATGATGGAATGCATCGAGTTTCGGAGCTCCAGGCTTTCATCGGCCCCACTTGCGGGTATCTACGGATGTCACGGCCTTTGTTGGATGGTCGGTGAGCACCTTACTGCCAGGAATTATCGTCTGATAGAGCGACCGGCCTTTTCTTCGATCAGAAAGTCCTGTTAGCACCTTCCCGCCGTCAGACTGAGTTGCCATCCTTATGCGGCACTCAGTCATTACTCGGACATCATTGGTCTCATGGTATAGGCCTAACGAGTGTACCGAACAGAAGAACGGATCTGAGAAGCCCCAACGTCTCATAGCAAGATGCGAGCTTTGCAGGGCCGAGGAAAGGGTCACGGGGCAATGTAGGTAATTCCAAAGCAAGAGCAATATGGGCCATGGCCCTTACTCTTGCTTGCCAGTAAACGATCCCGATACATCATGGATCTCTTGCGAATCAAGGAAACACAGAACAAAGAGCCAACGCCCCGGATGATGGCCGGATTAGTCCAATCGTCCATGACCCAGAGAACCCCCGTCCCCAAAAGACGTCGCCAATCCTATGATCCCCCCATCCCCCTCAATGCCGGGATCAAAAGCCAATGGTGAACCACGTTAAAACGAACATACCAACCCCAGCCCCAACCCCAGCTCGTCCTCCGGTACTGGTGACATCAAATATGGTCGAGTACTCAGACCGAATCAGATGGGCATAATCCGAGTCCCCGAGCTCAAACAAGCACCTCAACGCCAGCACAAAAAAAAGGGAAAAAAGAAAAATAAGAACCCAAAATCTCAGCCCAAAGTCTTGAACAGATCCCCCGCATACTGCACACACAGCACGCCGTACCGCGCCACCTCGTCGGTGCTCGCCGCCCGGTTCATGTCTTCGGTGTAGATGCGCAGGCACTGCTCGAGCGTCTTGCGCGCCTGCTGTATCGACCTGGCCTTCTTGGACTTGAGGCTGTCGAGCCTGTCCTTGTCCTTGATGGCAGCCTCTCTGTCCTTGTCCTTGTCCTTGCCAGGTGCCGTCGTCGCGGACTTGTGTGTCTCGCCGCCATCCGGGACCGTGGGATGGTCATTGTCATGTTCGTCGTGCTGCTGCTGGTGCTTATCGGCCCGGCCGTTCAGCGCGCACAGGTCGCACGATACCTTGATCAGCGCGTTGAAGATGATGGCGTGGCGGATTGAGGCCCGCAGCTCGTCGCGGCTGAGACGCTCGTGCAGCTTGGCGATGTCGGCGCGCAGGGCGTCGCACGTATTGTTGAGTTGGGAAGGATGGCCGTTAATTGTTTCTTCGAGCGCCTTGAGGTGCTTGTTGATAATCTTGAGGGTCTTGGTGCCCGCTGGGGTTGCCAGTGCCGCCTCCGGGATGGGCAAGATGTTGGGTTCAATTGCGGTGATGGTGTTCTTTGGGATGTCGTCCACGGGAGTTGCATTGGGGGCTTTGGTATTGCCGTTCTGGGCCTCCCTAGACGCCCTGGACTTCGTGAAGGGCAGAAACTGGACGGGAGGAGGATCCGGATAGGCCTTGAAGGAATAATCGACGGGAGCGGTAATGTCGCTGAGGGGAGTAAGCTCCTTGGGTGCTGGGGCGGGCTTGTCCGTAGCCTTGGGCTTCGAAGGTCCGGCGACAGCTGGAACTTGAGGCCTCTCATGCCTGTTGGGTCGCTTGCGACGTTTCTTAGAGATGTGCTCCTCCTTGGGCGGTGCGGTGACGCCTGTAATCTTTGAGTTGGCGTCTTCAACCCGATCATTTGCCGTTTTGTTGACACTTGGCTCCGCCCTGACTTTTTTGCGGGTGTTGGCCTCTGTCTTGGGGTTGTCCTGGGCCGTCGGCTGCTTCAGGCTCTCTTTGACATTTTTCTTGCTTTCGCCTCCCAGCGCCTCCTTGGTTATCTCGGCCGACTTTTGTACGTAAGCCCTGTGTGCCTCCTTGAAAGGAAACGGAGCAGGAGGCTTGATGGGGGTCTGCTTCTGCATGTGGGCAATGGGACTGAAGAGGGCAGAGGTTTGGTCGAAAGAGATCAAGTCCTGCTGCTCAACGTAGCCGTCGGGGTCCCTCTCGCTCTTAGAACGACGCTTCTTGTTGTGTTTCGCTCGCTTGGCCTGGTTCTCGGTCGGCGATTCCTGGGCCTCGTCCGAGAAACCACGCTTGGTCGAGCCGATCTTGGAAGAAGAGTCGGAGAACTTAGACTCCATGGTTCAACTTGAGTCGAGCTGGACCGTCTGGGGCATGGCGAACGGTTGGATTGACCTGACTATGATTAGAATCAAAAGACAAGTGACAACAAAATGGTGCGCACCGATCTCAACAGATTGTTGATTCGTAGAATTGACAGTTGGGCCGTGGCACAAAGTGAGAAGTTGCGGTAAAGTTGGAATAACAGGAATCAAATGACAACTTGAATACCTTACCTTTGAGCAGTTAGTTCGGTTGAGCAAGGCTGCTCTCAGAAGAAGGTGGCTCGCAATATTCGTGGAACAACTTAGGAGAAAGCCGGAAGTGAGTAAAGAGCGGTTCTCTTTCTTTTTTCGCGTAGTGCTCAGTGATTATCACTACGACAATGGCAGAATCCCACAAGGAGATTCCAACAAAAAGAACCCGGCAGTGAACTGTATTTCATGGAAACTTTGATTTTTGTCAAGTCCGCGAATACACAGGCTTATCGATTCTTCGCATGGATGACTGCTGACGAATTTCTTAATCCATATTCCGAAGGTGATGTCTTGTCTCAGCACAAGTCTGTCCCATCATGGCCACCTCTTCGGGCCGTCCCAGCTCTCAGGTGCGGCAGGCCAAAACCGTCGTAGAACGGGGGACACTGCTATTAGACGGCATACCGCCCGACGGCATGGTACCATTCATAGTGCCGAGCGTACCGTTGCCCCCGACAGCACCACCACCGCCGCCTCCCGTGCCGTTCGCAACAGCGTGGCCCCCGTCGGCATCCAGATACGCGGCAACCGAGTAGTAGTTATCAGCCGAGTAGTCAGCACTAGCATTGATGCCAATTTGGATCCAAGCAAACAGCCCATCGGCGACGTCCTCGCCCAGGTATACAAAGTGCGGGAACGGGTCGAAGCTGGCGTCGGCCTGCACAATGCTCCACATGTCGTTGGCGTTGCTGGTGACGGGCTGGGTGTTGGTCGTGTATGGGTACACGGCCTCGACGGCCGATCGCAGCGCCTCGGGCCAGAACAGCTGGCCGATGTGGGCGACGGGCGCGTCCCAGACCGAGATGGTCCCGTTGGGCTGGACCGTCGCGTTGGTGTGGGCGAGCAGGTGCGTGTGCGACGCGCGCCCCTCGTAGTGGCCCGGGAATATAGTCTCGAACTGGGCGACGCCGTCATGGTCCGTCAGCTGGATGCCGCGGAGGTAGGTCGAGTTGAGGCCGTTGGCGGCGTAGTTGCCACTCGTGCTGATGCCCGAGTAGGTGCCTGTGGCGTTGGCGTTCCAGATGTCGACGGCGACGGCGGGGACGGGCTCGCAGTTCTCCACGTTGATGTATTGGATCTCGAGGAAGAGGTCGACGCCAGCGCTGTACTTGACCTCCCTCACGTTGCTGCGGAGGAACTCGCCGACGACGTAGTAAGGCCCGTCGGTCACCTCGGGGGAGAGGATGCACGATGTGTTGGCGTCGAAGACGGTCTCGAGCGGGGTGAACATGTCGAACTTGGCCACTCCTGTCATGTTGTGGTTGACCTCTTCCCACGCCTCGAGGTCGGCGAGGTCGCGTCGATATCTTTTCGAAGCTGCCCTGTGTCAGTCCATACGTTCAAGAGAGTAAGTGGAAGGCAGGTGTTATCGATGACATACGGGTCTTGATGCCCCTTTCATTACGGAGACTCTTGACCTTCTCGGCACGGCGCACGACTGACCGCTGCTTCAGAGCACGGGCCGTCTCGCTGTTGGCGCAGGCGCCGAGGGAGCGGGCGGCCATCTTCGCAGCATGGTCCCGGGCAACGATCTCACGCTTCAGGTGATGTGCATCGTGGGAGTCGCCTGGGTGAGCGACTCCAACGGCTGCAAGAACGGCTACTGAGAGCTTGAAAATACCTAACATTGTGAAACGACGTGTATCGAAAGTGACAGATCAACGGATGGACCAGTGTTGGAGGATGAGGGAGAGGGTGGGGGCGAAGAAGTCAACAAGCATGGTGGGATAGAGCTCCCTTTTATCGCCAAGGACCCTACTTCTGTTTAAACGACATTATGCCTGATGCCAGGCCCGTGAGGCTTCGGTACTCACTCCTCAATCGCTATGCGTGTGAACTGGGACGCATCTAGGGCTCTACGATCGCGCCATTGTATGGAGACCTAGTCGTAAGCAGTGTGCGAATTGCCTGAAAGCTAACTGGCCAGAGGGGACCCAAACGGTATAAGTCCAGGATGCTCCCTGGTCCGGGCCAGGAGGCAGATGAAGACGTTGACGACAACTACATACTCTTTACTACAAAGCCAGTGGCAAGGTCAACCAAAGAGCTGCTCCGTATCTCGACAGGAGCCTATGACACATCAATGCGACAGTCTGTTTGGTCGCGGAGACCGGCACTTGAGCTTCTTCGTTGGTCAACGCTCGCAATTTGCGTCGTCGCCAGATCCACCGTCCACGCGTCCAACGGGGTTGACTACCTAGAAAGCTACTATGACCGGTAGCAAGCTCGCATCTCGCCCACGCATCTACACCGAAGCCTCGGTGTTCTTGACGTACTTAGGAGTGGCGCCGCATATATCAGTGGGCAATTCTTCCATAAAGACCTGTGAGTCCTATTGGCAACATGAAGCTGGAGCTATAATATCAGCAGCTTGGTCCATTACTAGGTACGCAGCAAGATAGATCTACAAGCAGTTATCGACATGTTCAGAAGAGCTTTTGGTGTGAATGCTTGAAAAGCCGTTCAAACTCTCTTTGCCTATTCTACCCTTTTCGAGCTGGCGAGCTGAAGAATCTGATTGTTATAGCGAGCGGCGTGGGAGACACTGGTAAGTCTATCGGGGTACATTAGTTTAATTACCTCACTTGCTTGGTACGATTCACGGCATAGCTAAGGAGAACCGGATCTGATCAAGGGAAAGCTTTTAATGCGGCGGCATACACGTCGAGCAAGTCTAAGTAGCCCGTAGCTACACTACGGGTAGTACTCAACAGGGCTGGTAACTCGGTGGAAATGGGTGCTTGTTGGAGGTTGAGACATGTTGACCTTTTTGGACAGGGGTTTTGTGGTAAAAGGCTTGTTTTCTTGCCAAGACGGCGCGCTGTCAGCGATGCCTGGCTCTGATCCCCAGCCAGATATACGAGCGCGCTAGAGCCTTTACGGAAAAAGACCGTATTGCGGCTGCCACATGGGCCAACAAGGTGCGTAGGCGACGCTCCAATTCAATTCGACTCTGGAGTCCCCGCAGCACACAGCCCCATTTCTGACGCGAGTCCGTATCCCTGGATTTACGGAGTAGGGGTTTCAGCTCATACAGAATATCCACGGAACCGAGGCTGCATTTTCTGTCCCGCGTCGCGCAGCAGGATACCCAGCTTGCCGCAGGATTCCATTCAGCCCATCTTGGGCCGTCGGCCTTGCCAACTGAGTGGGCCCTACGTCTATTACGAGCGGTTGGAACAGAAGACCGCTTCCCCTGACATTCTGACAAAGATCTGATGAACCTAAAGCTCCTGCAGCTCGGGTCTCGCGCCTAGAGCCACTTTCCGTCGTCCTCCTACGGTTCCCGGTCCTTGGTCGTGTCGCTCGCGATTTAGCTTTGGCTACTCCGTACCAACCATCCCCGAATGTCCTCGACGACCTAGACGGCCTCGACCGAATCAGCCGCGACCGTCCTCGTCTGCGCATTATTTGGGGCGGGCAATGGCGTCCAAAGCAATAGCGCTGGTTGGCGCACTGCTGCTTGCAGCTGCCGGCGTGAATGGACAATCGGGCAAACTAGATGTCGACTTGGATTCTCCTGGTGAGCAGAGCATGGGCTGTTGTTTGGTGCTGTTGGGCTCAGACCACTGGAGACTCTTTGCTGACATGCGACCGGAATGGCAGACTCGATCAAGGCGGCCGCAAAAATCGTCGCGAAGAACCTGTACAATTACTACCCCGGAGACCAACCCGGCAGGACTCCGGGCATCCTTCCGGGGCCGCCACCGGGTGGCCCCTACTACTGGTGGCAGGCCGGGGCCATGTGGGGGACCTTTATCGACTACTGGTTCTACACGGGCGATGACACCTACAACGCCGAGGCGACGCGCTCCATTCTCTTCCAGGCCGATCCCCCGGTCAACGCCTTCATGCCTCGCAACTGGACGGCCTCGCTGGGCAATGACGACCAGGCCTTTTGGGGCATGGCCGCCATGCTCGCCGCCGAGGTGAACTTTCCCAACCCGCCCGAGGACCAGCCGCAGTGGCTCGCCCTCGCCCAGGCCGTCTTCAACACCCAGTTCCCCCGCTGGGAGGTGCAGGACTGCAACGGCGGCCTGCGGTGGCAGGTCGTGAGCACCAATGGCGGCTACGACTACAAAAACACCATTGCAAACGCCTGCTTCGTCAACCTTGCCGCCCGCTTGGGCCGCTACACCAACAACGCGACCTATGGCCAATGGGTCGACAAAGCCTGGGATTGGATGTGGGGCGTTGGCTACATCACCGAAGACTACAACGTCCTGGACGGCGGCCGCATCCCGTTCAACTGCACTGACCTTAACCCGGTTCAATTCTCGGCCAACGCCGCCATCCTCATCCACACCACCGCCATCATGTACAACTGGGTATAATCCCCGTTTCCCTTCTCCCTCTTCTTTTCCGTATCTGTCCCAAACCAAGCTAACCCTTGGCCCCCCACCCCAGACGGAAGGCGCTGTCCGCGACATATGGCGCGAGCGCACCACCAAGCTCGTCAACCGCACCATCGAGCACTTCTTCCCCGACGGCATCATGGTAGAGCGGCCGTGCGAGCTCGAGGACCGCGTGCAGTGCAACACGGACCAGCACTCCTTTAAGGGGTACATGCACCGTGCGCTGGCGACCGCCGCCGTGGTAGCGCCATTCACGCGCGACATCATCCTCAAGACGTTGCGCTCGTCCACCGAGGGCTGCGTGAGCTCCTGCCTCGAGGACGGCACCTGCGGCTTCCGCTGGACCACGGGCGAGTACGACGGCGATGTCGCGCACGGCCCCGCCGGCCAGCAGATGAGCGCGCTCGCGGCCCTGTCGACGCTGCTGATTGACCAGGAGAAGGTCCAAAATGGCCCGCTGACGAATACTACGGGCGGGACCAGTCGCGGGGATCCGAATGCCGGCGAGCGGTTTTCGGGGTTGGCGCCGCCGAAGGAGATCACGGCGGGGGATCGGGCGGGGGCCGCGATTGTGACGGTTGCGGTGCTGGCGTCGTTTTTGGGGAGTGTTTTGTGGATGGGTATGGGGTGGTCTGAGTCCTAGGGGACGGCTCTGGGTTTGATGAGGCGTGGTCGTTCAGCATTCTCATGCCATTGTTTGGTGATCTCTCTTGTCTTGTTAGCGAGCGATGGAGCTGTCTGCTGATATTTAGACAGACAGAGGAGAAGAGAAGCGTTGTAGAGCAGAGCACAGCCGGGGGGTGGTTCACTTACGGGTTTGCTTTCGCCGGCGCTTTGGGAATTTCGTACTTTCTACGGGCACGGATTAAGTGCCATCGTTTGGGACCGGGATATTGTGGTTTCGGATTTTCCTGCGGATTCAAATTCAATCTTCTGGTTGGCCGCTCTAGGACATTTCCCATGCCGTGCCTCGTGCTCCGAGATTGCTTGAGTTATCGATGCCTGCTGAAACACAACCCATACTTGGCGGTATACCGTGCCGTACCTCACCAAACTCGTCACAACTCCGCATTTCTGTATCCGCGATATCTGGCAGGAGCGAGACTCGTTGCGCGGGGTTGATAGGTCACTCATGGGGACTGCCGATTGGAGAGTGCGCCGCGAGTTGGAGTTGCTGTCAACGAAGGCCTTGTGCGCCTGAGTTACATGTTTCTAGTACCACCGTAAGCCCAAGAACAGTTGGCTGTTCAAACACCCCTTTCTGGGAAAGTCCAGGACATTAATAGTTAGATGCCATTCAGAGAGTCGATGCGTGAGTTTTAGACAGCGCTCTCACCAGCTTATCCGTCCCGAGAACAACAAGCACATGATTCATCACACGGAGGAGTATCCATAGCAAAAAGTCAGTGAAACCAGGCCGAGTCCATTCCGTGTAAATAATCTGGCATGATGTCCCCCAGCGGGGCTAAACTTGTTTTGTAATCACTTTGTACGCCTGGCGCCCAGGCATGACCGAAGGAAGGAACAGTGGCAGTGGCCTCTAAGATGGCCAGTCGCGAGTATGATCTGAGTGTTCTTGTACAATGTTCCCACATTCCCTTCCCTTCCACCAAACTCAAGACCGGGATTTCCATCCTTGTCCAGTTCCGCTCTCTGTCTCAATCCAGAAACCGATGACTCGGGCTTCTAGGAAGTTTGGTCGAATACAGACTGAGACGGAGGGCAAATCGAGTTGTGCTCCTAGGCGGCTTGGACTTTGGCCTTCCCCTTCTTCCCCTTGGCCTTAGGCTTAGCCTTTGTCACCTTGTTCGTGTTTTTCTGCGCGCATGCTTTGCTCCCGTTTTACCCGCTTGCGACTCCGCTTCCCCGGCTTCACTGTCTGCTGCGCGGCGTCAGCTTCCGCTGGATTCAGGTTAGCTCGGCCAGCTTCCACAGCGCTCAGACGCTGGAGAAGCTGGTCGATGACTGTCTGCTGGTCAGCGACACGGTCTCTAAGTTCTTTTACCTGTCGGAGGCGAATCCGCGACTTTTTCCGCACAGTTTTCTCGAGAGCGTCGAATGTATTCTGACATCTTCAGTGCGAGCCCTGTTTCTTGCGAGCTTGTCACGAAGCGAGTCGAGGCGGGTGTCGACTCGTGCGTGCTCTTGCTCCAACGGGATGTGTACGCTGTTCCCCTGCTTTGGGACTTTCGTCCGCATGTACGTGTCGCGGCTATTCCGGCTTCCCGGCAGGTGAGCAATGGAATTTCTGAATCTGCTCTCCTTGTTCGATTGTCTTGAGGCGCGAATCAAGGTTCTCAATCTCGTCGGAGTGCCTCGCCGTCTGCTCCTCCTGGGCCGATAATCTGAAATCATGGCATGAATCAAATTGAAATGCTCCGCTAACTTGTGCTCGCACTTCGTCATGGGGGTGTCGGCAGACAAGAAGCCAGATCCGATCTGCGGATAGTAGCAAGGCGATTTATTCACCTCGACCGCTGAATTGCTCTCATGTTCTGCTTCGCTGATAGCTCCGACACCATCCGGCGCTCTTCCCTGAGTCGAATCGGCCATGGATCTACAAACCGCAAGTCGTCTTGAGCAGTCTGCCGAGCTGCGGTTGCCCGACGCTTTGGTGAGCGAGATCTGAGACTGACTAGACTTTCTCTCCGACGCCTCTTCCGCTGTGAGGTGGACTCGGGGTGGGTTGAACGGTTGAGCTCCGCAACCAGACCTTCACCCTGAGTCTGCTCTCTCTTCACAACAGCATCACTTGAAGGCTGCGGTGCGGCCTGTACCCCCCAGACGTCTGATACCAGTGCGGCTCTTGCGGAATCCGCTTGTTCTGCCATGGATGGAGCAGCGCATGCCGCACTTGTCAAATCGACCCTCCGCACTGCCTCGTTCCACTGCTGGAACAGAACATGCCAGGGGTTCAGGAACAACGAAAGAGGAGGAGCTCTAGCGGCCAGAAAAGAGATCCATTCGCGCACGAGCCGCGCGGTTTCGTTGGGGCAGTCCCCAGTGCTTCTCAGCCAAAATTGCCGAGCTTGCACGAACAGTTCTTCAAGTATCTGAGCTCTCCTGGCGCCATGCCGAAGACTGCATTGTGCGACTCGCTCCTAGAAAACCGCGTTGGGGTAAGAATCTTTGCAAAATAACATGGCTCGAAAGTGGACGGCGACACTAATCGCGACTATTCTGGCGTAGTCTTCCTCTAACGGATGACGGGGGTTTGCGATGCCTGTAGTGAATCGCCGCGTGCCGAGACTGGAGACTGGGTTTCGATATTGGGCGACGGGCATGAGGCTGAAGTCGAAGCCTTTCAACTCCCAGTTAGGCTTGTAAGGCCACCTAGAAACGGGATATGGCGGGCCCGACTCCATTGTTCTTCGCGATCCGATGTCCTCGTGGTTTAACGGCCAGGCAGACGTGGGTTCTAGCGGAATCCGAGACACCAGAAGTCTGGAGCTTGAGAACGTCAACCACAACAATTCAGCGAGCCGTCAAATGAAACGAGAAGAATGATGTTAGAAATCTAAATAACTTCCTGACATGCCTGCTAAATTACATCTGTCGTCCGAGCCGGTGCCGCGTTGTGAAGTGGCAGTCACATCAAGGAATAAGCGATCCTGTCAGACGACGGCAAATTGTCTGAAATTCAATAATGATTCAAGCGAAGAAGCCGGACAAGATGTGGGCCTGGGAAAGGTGGGCTAGACTGCGGAGCTTCTTACCACCAGAACCCCCGAGGCTGCCAGCGTTCATAGACGCTTCGGGACAAGTGGTGGCCGCAGATCATGACCAGAAGGCTGAGGCTCTGGCTAAGAAGTTCTTCCCAAGCCCTCCAGCAAACCTCGCCGACGTCCAGGACCAAGATTTCCTCGACGACTGGGAGCCGGGATTCCATGTCGAGCAGAAGGTGACGCTGGCCGAAGTAGCGGAGGCGATAA